CTTTTCTCTTTCCTTTCTCTTTTCTTTTTCTTTTTGTTATATATAAATCTCACATTCAAACTTCATATTCAAACTTCACTTACTTACTCACTTCTTTTTTCTTTCTGTCTGTCTTTCTTTTCATTTTCGTAGCGAGATATATCATTCCATCCCCATCCCATCACATCCCATCCCATCCTATTCTACATAAATGATTAAAATGATTGAAATAATAAATTAATAAATGAATGAAGATCATGATATCATATCATATCATATCATCTCATTTCCTGTGAATCTCCTCCACCTTGGTGTTTAACTCATCTCCATCTCCATCCTCATTTCCGTTTCATCTCATCTCATCTCATCTCATCTCCATTTCTTACTTACCAACTTCTTTTTTGTGATTACAATTAATTTCATTTTTATAATTTCCTCCTCTCCTCCCTCCCTCCCACATACACATACATACAAATTCACATACACAAAACCACAACCCAATCAAATGTTAAACAAGAGCGAAATTTCGCCCTTGTCATCTCTGTGTATTTATCCTAACGGTAACACACGACGCAAGTATCTCTTATCATATCTCATATGCAATGCAAACCTGCGTGCTCATTTCATCTCATCTTCACCGCGCGATTAACGCAGTGGTGATCCAACCTGAAAACTCCCAGCACATTTCATTTCCGTATCCATATGCAAAACCTCAAACCCAAAATCAACCAAACTAGTTAAAAATCAAAAGTAAAAAATGTGACGTGAGAAAATATATCTCCTTTTCGTTCCGCATGTGCAACTCAACTTTCAAGGTGAAAGAAGTGAGGCAGCGGACCTAGTGAGAAACTAGGATTTGAAGATCTTCTCAAGGCCTTCTAACAAAATGTCGGCGTGGTGTTCTTGGAAAATCAACATAGGTCTAAGACGAACGGCTCGCTCGCCAGAACCACCAATGTTAATACCAACGTCCTTAGCCTTCTTCACGACCTCATCTCTGCGGTGGCTATCAAAGGCCAAGAATGTTCCTTGTCCTTTACCTCTCAAGTTTTGTACTTCTCCTGGATATTGCTTGGCTAAGCGTTCGAGTTCTCCATAAAGGTAGTTTCCAACCTTGGCGGTATTGTTAACCAAATCGAGACGTTCAATTTCTTCGATGATGGCACGGAAGAGGATAGCACGAGCTGGGTCCCCCATCCAGGTGTTAAATTGACGGTATGGTTTGTTGGGGCGGAGTTCAGGGTTTCCAAAGTAGTAACCGGCAGTTTGGGCTTTCTTGGAGAAGGTAACCATGTCGGGAGGGGTTTCGAGGTTCCAATGTTCATGAGCCCAGAATTTACCGGTGGCACCTACACCAGTTTGAACTTCGTCGACGATCAGGAGGACATTATGTTTGATGGTGAGGGCGCGAAGACCACGGAAGAAAGCGGGAGATGCGTGGTTGTCTCCTCCTTCAGATTGGATGGGTTCGACTACGACGGCACAAGGTGGGAGGTGGTGAGTGGTGATGATACGTTCAACATCGGCGAGAGCCTCTTCTTCTGCCTTTCTGTTCTCCTCGACGTGGTCTTCGAGTGGGTATTTGAGAAGGGGGAAGGTAGCTTGTGGCCAATCGAAAGCAGGAATATCGAGTTTGTGAATTGGCTTGCTCCGAGTGGTGGAGAGGGAACCGAATAGACGCCCGTGGAAACCAGTCTTGAAAGACATGATAGATAATTGAGGAGCACCTGGTGCTTGGTTAAGCATAGATGAAGTAATATCTTCCTGCGAGAATTCCACATGGGCACCACCACGCTCTTGTTGTCGACGATACATAAATGCAGCCTTGTATGCAGTCTCATTGGCATCTGAACCTGCCATAGCAGTGAACACCTGATCAAGACCCTTTGGTGCTACCTTCAGAATACCAGTCTTAAGAATTTCGGCCCAATCGTGCGAGGGGAAGTTTCCAAGGGCGGGACGGTTGATGATGGCAGATGCCATTTGTTCGGATTGTGCAGCTTTGAGAAGATGAGGATTATTGTATCCAACTGGAATCGAAGCAATTTGTGCGTAACTAATATTCTCATTAGTATGCCATCATACCTGCAACGAAAATAAAGACAACGTACACATCCAATAATACATTTCCATCTAGATCCGCGATGTAGTTGCCAGAACTCTTTTGGTAATTGGCTAGCATATTCAAACTTCTAGTATCAAACACTTCATCCAATTCCGTGATTGCCTTTTGAGATTCGGGACCTGGAATAGCAGTCTTAATATGTGGTTTCTCTGGTTCACCGGTGAAGAATGGTTTGACACTTGTAGTGGCATATGTTCGTAATGTTCGTGGAACGACTCTTGAAGCCATTGGAGGCAATTGCGCCGCAGCTCTTAGAGAAGCCATTGTTGAGAGCTATGTAAGTTGTGTGATATTTGAGAAAGAGGGGAGATTGGTAAGAGAAGAAGAAGAAGATGAAGAAGAGGAAGAGGGAGATAAAATGAGAGTCGATAGAATTGTGGCTGTTGTAACTTGTTCTTATGTAGCTCTTCTGCAATTTAGTGGGGTCAATCCCAGTAGTGTTTTTATCTTATCTGACTTATCGTGGCGCGAAATTATAAATATACATGATTTGATGAAAGATGATTGGATGATATGAAAGTGAATTGACTAATGCTTGTGTTACATATAATATCATAACTAAAGCCAATTCGGAAAGTATATCCTGATTATTCATAACCAATCAATCTGATATCCCTTCCCCATCCCCAATCCCCTCTTAAACCACTGATATATATATATATATGTATATATCGCTATTATCTTCATTTTATTATTATCCCTATTCCATCTTCCACTCTCATTGCCTCACTTGTCTTGTTTAATAGATACCTACGCCATTGAACTAGAAATCGCATTTCTCACCAAATCATATTGCGGTTACAGTCGGCTTTTCGCGGTATATCACCCCTTTCATTTAAAGGAAGATTGACATCAATCATTCACGCTGTTGAAAGTCAAAACATATTGTTGCAAAAGTATCTAACAAATAATGCATCAAATATATACTATTATTCTAATAAATTATTCAACCAATACAAGTAAGTACATTAATTGAGTGAATGAGGGCTCTCTCTCGCTTCACAGAAACCCGCTTATATCAATATTACCATCCCGACCACTATCATTTAACATCAATTTTCCAGACCGATTTCTTTTCGATTTCATATTTTCCTTTTTTCGTTGATCTCGATGTTTAGAGCTATTTCCCAACCAACATCTCTTTGAGAAATGGTACTCCCGATTCTCAAATCCTAGGTCCCCGAAATCTTCCATTAGTTGTGGGTTATATTTGACTGCGGGAACGGCGATGGAGAGGATTTGTGAGGAGGTGGCGGATGAAGAGAGGGAGGCATTGTTCGATTTCAGGATTCCACCTAATGTAGGACCCCATGGTTCGGCGCGAGCCAATGACCTCAAGGCTCTTTTGGCGGCCCTGGACTCGATGGATGTCCAACCATATACTTTCTCAGCTGTACCGGTAACTCTTGGAGGTACTGGTGCCGAGGAAACCACACGGACGGCGATGGAAAAAATAATTGCTTCGCAATCGTATCGATTGATGTAATTCCTAGTGGGGATCTGCAAGAATAGCATTAGTGGTTGCCCATTGAGGAAGGTCTTGGAGCGATGATAGGAACCGAGGAGGATATAGATGAAGGATACGATGCATTGTTTGAATGTATTAGACTTAGACTCAAGAGGACAATATACTTACGATTGAGGGTGTCTTTTCACAGGTGTGTATGCCAGCGGCGGCTTTTGCCCGGCGGGTCTTGACTGTGGTCCAGCCGGAGCACTCAAATTCGATTTGTCCCATTTTGGATGGATGCTGTTATTGTTGAATTAGCTTTTGGATATTGAAAGGATCGGTGAGAAGAGTGGGAGGATAGTAAGGAGGGTATTGAGGCAAGGGTAGTGACGATAACAACGGAGTCAGTGTCGCAGATGACACCGATGAAGACATCATCGATGGCAACCATGACATTGGAGTCAACGAAGTCAACAAATTTATCTCCGCCCACAAACACAATAACACCACCCCAGCAACAAAAGGCAATCAGACATACCTAAGAATATCCAACTACTCGTAATAGATCAGAAATCGGAGAGTATCGTGGTAAGTATTATTAATGCGATATCTTTAAAAAGTATCTCAGATTCTCAAATAAATATTCTAATTCTAGAATCTTCAAAACAATACAAGTGTCAAGAGAAAGATCCTACATACTTATATTTACATCCTCAGTGTCTATCCTTAGTGCATGTGCAAGCAGAAGATCACGGGATTCAGTCAATCTCTAGTACATCATCTAAGTATATAGTATGTCATTGATTAGTAGCGACTAGCGAGTCGCTTGGCTAGTAGTTACTAGTTTTTTTGGGTACTTCTAGGAGGGGGTTAGTTGTGAATCGGGTTTATGTTCCTTTAGATTTGGGTTTAGAACGCTGGTTGGCAGGGGAATATAGTTTTATTTCTTTGGGGTTTAAGTTTTTCCCCCCCCCTTGGCGAGAATCTAGCTAGATTGGGGTCGGGTCTTCTATATTTTACTATACTACTCGAGCATACTATATTACACAGTCTATGTAACTCGATACAAGCACGGAATTTCAAGAGGGAATTCCTTCAAGATTACTTTGCTTGCTGTACATTTCATTACATTACGTTTTCTTGGGTTGTTTTAAAAGCTTCTGCTCGAATTATCATTTTTCCATTTTCCCAATTTCTAATACCTCCTCCATTTTATCTTCCATTCCATCTTCCAAATAATCTTTCAATTCATTCTCAATTTCATATTCCTCGATGAAGAATATCCAACTCTCAAGTACCGATTCGATCGATAATCAAGGGTCTCTATCGGTCGGTAGACTCGGTACGGTACAAGTACTGTAGGTCATAGAAATTAGAATCATATCATATCATATCATATCATATCAAGAGGGTTTGAACTTTCAGTAGGCTAGGATATTGATGGGCTTGGATGAGCTAGGTAGGTAGCACTGCACTAGAATAGTAACGTACTCGTGGTACTCAAGTAGTACTAGAATAATACTCCCGTATATCTACTGTACATTATAATACAGTATAGTCAATACTCGCATAGCATCCGATCATCTCATTCATAGCCAGTAAAAGATATACCTATCTACTCGAGTACATTCCAATTGTAGACACAAATTCTACGAGCAACAAAACAAATTTTCGAGAAAAATGTATTTATCGAGTTAAAGCTCAAGCTCAAATGACCAAATCCTTCAAGGCAGTGTACACAAAGTTGATCTAATACAGTAGTATACTGTAGTATTTTATCAGATCCGGATACTCGAGTCATCTCGCATATGAATATCATGGATCTTCAGTCCTCAAACTACTGTACTATAGTGATTACTCACTTTCAAAAAGTGGATACCGCGACATCTACTGTAGAAGGAGAAAAGAAGAAGCCCACTCAAACCACATCACTCTTCTTTTCCCCTTTCCTTTCCTACCTTTCCCTTTCCCCCCTCCCTTCAAATTAACACATCAAACCTATCCCATCTCTTCATTTCCCCTCCACCCCATCCCCAACCCCCCGACTCTCGCCCCCCAACTCACTTATAACCACCGGTTCCACTCCCCGTCCCACTCCAACTCCCACTCCCACTTCCACTCCCTTCCCATTTCCCACCCCATCTCCAGGAGGCGCCCAAGCCGGTGGTACACTATCCCTCTCACCCGCACCCGCACCCGCACCCTCCACCTGACAATCCGGCTGAATACCAATCCTTCTTGCTTCAAAACCATACGAGGGAGATTTCTCAGATTTCTCACCGAGAATCGTCTCTGGAACCCAACTCGTCTGTGCGTTCGGAGATAAGGATGGAGATGCATAGGAAGCTACTTGGATTTCTGGATTTGAAGGAGCAGGTGGCATGTTGGTCGTTGATGAATGACGTCGCCATAGTAAGATTGCGATTATCATCAGTGCTACACCGAGGAGTGTTGCTCCTACTGCTATTCCGATTACTGCGCTTGTGGGGAGTACTTGATGTGGGGTTGCTACTGTTGTTGTTGTTGCTGCTGTCGCTGGGGTGGGAGTGGGAGTGGCGGTGGATGGAGATGATGTGGTACTTGTACTTGTAGATGTAGATGATGATGTACTCGTTTCAGAGGGGAATAAGCTTATCGAAGACACAATATACTGGGTCACGGTGATTGGTGCGAGAGCTTGGGCGGCAGTCGTTGAGATTCCCCAGTTGTACGTGGCTGTGATGATACTGCTGTTTACGGTTGTATTGTCACAATAGATCACCTCGAGACCACTGTAAGCGGCGAAGAAATATGTAATACAGTATGGGTATTCTGAGTCGCTAAATACCTAGTGTCAGTATGCTAGTAGAATATCTTCATGATATAGAAATTACCAATATTCTGCATTGCCATTTGGTGATCCGTTTAGGACGCCTTCTTCGCTGTATGGATAGCAGGTTGTGATCACGTTGCAATCTTCGTCACTAGAGTGATTTCAGTTCTTGATTATCACATGAATACAGAACAACTCACGGTTCGCAACATGCTGCAAGATTACCGATGGGTCCATAGCAAGTTGCAGGCGAGTAGCAAATGTCATTATTGCATGGCATAGAGTCGCGCTTTAAGGCTCGATCAAGATCATGTGGGGAGACTGGTGCTGTTATCATAGGGGGGGTCTCGTTTGTAGAAATTGTCCCTGCACTGGAGAGCCAGCTATACAGCAAAACTGAGTATACGGTACTTTTGAAATAAAGAATCATGTTCATTAGTCGATACCTTGAACGAGATATAATGCATCAGGTAAAAGATAAGAGAATAAGAGCAAGGGCATCTGAACTTTAAAGCAGAGAATTAGAGATAGCATAATATAAGGCTGAAAAGAACTCCCATTGTGCCACAACATATCAACGAGAATAAACAGGCGGATTTTCTGCACTTGTCCGATGAACTCTCTCTTTTCAATAATTGACTGGATAAGAATTTAGGAAGAGGAGCCACTGTGCTCAACTCTCGGACACAACGTTTCGAAAGGCGGCTTTCGGCGACAACGACATTTGAGCAATGTATCGTCTCGATATTCTTTGGCCGGCTGGAAATACACTAGTACTCCTCGGGAGGGGTATGCAGAGCCCCGAGGATAATAGCAGAAACAAAATGATCTGGATACTTCTAGTTCACGCGCATTCCTAATACCAAACGTAGGACATTGCTATCATGAAGTCCGAGTAACGGTGTAAGGAACATCACGATGTGGAGATTCCCCGATCCATCTTGGGTCACCTACCAGTAAACTTTTGTTTCCTCGACTACGTGATGAATGGCACACACCATACTATACCAACCTCGTAATCAGACCCCCAATAATCATCATCATCACTCAATCCACCCTCGATGTCATAATGTGATCTCGACTCCCAGCGCCTAGACTTCGCAAACTCAATCATCAAATCAATCCCAAACCATCCATTACGAAGCCCAACCTTGTCTCATACAACAGTACTGAGTACCACCTAGCATATCCCCTTAGATGCATGTATACTACCCAAAGCCGAGCATGCATATGCGAAATAATCAGCCATAACATTTCAAACGACGTAGACTTCACACCACATCTCTCCCATCCCATCCCCTCCCCGCCATCATAAACCCGCAACACATACAAGATTTTCAAACCTCCCAAAATCCTTGTATTGGAAAGAACAATTTAACAAAACGAAGAAGGCAGACTTAAGAGAAGACGAAACAAACAAATAAACAAACAAACCGTCGTTATCCATCTACCGGCATTAGCATGGCGCTAGACATGTTCCACGACGGATTTGGCAGGTACGGAGTGTAGGTTAGTTATTACTGTGGAACATGGCTTATTTCATGTGGCATTTCCCTTCTACTTTTTTTCTTTTTTTCTTTTCTGGGATGAGGTTGCAGAATTGCGAGGGTTGGTGTATTGTGATTAAGATTAAGATTAAGATTGAGGTGTTGATGTGAATATGAATATGGACATGAATATGGACATGAAGGTTGGTAACGGGCAGGACTGGGAAGATGGTGAAGATGATGAAGTTGATAGAGACTGAGGATGAGATGGTATATTTGGCTTTAGATCATCTCTGAGCTCCAATTTTGATGTTTGATCAGAAAGGTTATTTTGGGGTTCAATTACCATGTGCTGCACTTTGCTGGTTGATGTGCTGGTGAGTGCTCGATATTAAGTTTTTGTCTCCTCAAATTGATATTACCCGGTACACTAACATGATGAAATACATATGGAATCTTGTACGTTGGCATGTTCACATGCATACATCCTGTGATTTCAAGTCGCGGGACCGTTTACCACTTGGATATTGACATAAGAAATCATTTCGAGCTCCAGATGCGATCTGCTATATTGAGCTGCATTTCTTATATTGATGTAGATACCGACATACAACTATCGAAATATAACTATAGATATCCGCTGGCAGCTCGCTCAGAGACATAGTGTCGATCAAACATGATGTCCGGCCAGCAGATCTGTATGAATAAATACGATGCCCGGTCAGCATATCCCCCGATATCAACCTATGCTTTCAACATCCAAGCCACTCCGCACAACCAACCCGTTTTTCGTAAACTGGTGTCAGCGAAAGGCTTCTCGCCCACTCGCAACACACCATCTCCGCGGTATCAAGTAAAATCTTCTCATCCCAAGATCCCTATTACCATCAATGATCACTGACCAGAAATTCTTGTCCCCCTTCATTCTAATCCTATCCAAGCAACGTCAATCCTGATTCTGTTTCCGTCTTCCAGTCCCTATCAGACACCCTACCCACCGAGTATGATTATACCTCAGCCCATCCTTCCACGAGCCATCAAAACAGCCTGGACTTGTAGCTTACCGTGAAAACCAAAGATTGGGTTTCTTGTTTTAATTCGTAAAGTTGTGACGGATATGGTTGATACACAACCAGAAGTTTGAGGATCGTGGTTTAGGGTTTGTAACGAGATGTGAGGAATGAGAGGAAGTCGGAGACGTTTAAATGCTAGCAAAGAAGTCGAATGTGCATCTTATCTTGTGTATACTTTGTGGTGAACAATGAGGGAGAGACAGGAGAAAGAATATATTGGTGGCTGGATTCAGCGAATCGGTGGCTGTATATGTACTTGTATAGTATGTACAAGTATTGAAGTAAATACACACAAATACAAATAAGATAACATTTGCCATATCTTATAATAGCTAATTGGCAACTAGAAACCGTATAGATAAAATCAAGCCTAACTTATTACTCTCATCTACTCCAGAACTATCGTTACACAGCTTTGAAAAGATTATGAGAGTGATTATATGGAAGTCAACAAACAACTTGATAAGATGGGATATAACAAACAACTTGATAAGATGGGATATAACAAATGATTCATATATTTATTGGTAGATATACTCGAGTATATATAGAATGGGTATAGCAACGTGGTATAAAGAAATACTCGTACGCGAGTATAGATTAAATTCTGCAAATCTAGAATGCCATCAAAGGCCGTAGGACACTGGAGCAAGAAACCTTTAAGACACTAATCATAACTCACTTCCTCCACTTCTGTTGACATATACGTTTTCCTCGTACGCGCCGGTACTCGATCATGCTCAGCGACCAACTTTGGTGTACCAAGAGGAAATAATGGACCAGACCAGACTCAATAAATTGATCGAGGTGCTTTTATATACTCGTGATGGGGTAGTAAGCTACTACCCACGCCATAATACAAGGCATCTGAAGTGCCAAAACTATTCAGCAGTGGCTCTTATACATGATACATCCTAGAATAACGTGGATAAAATCCTTCTGCTCTGCGCATCCAAAAGATACAGGGGCCAAATCCAATATCCAATATCCAAATATAGCATCACGTGTACATCCTCACACAGCCAAGCTCCTCGAGAAAGCCATCCATGATCTATCCTAGGACCTAGGTTCCAGGCTTCCAGCTTGGACATCACATCACCGACGCATCTAGATGAATGAATCCAGCTGAGAGAACCTTTAAAAAAAAAAAAGCAAAGAATCACGCTATTTTCACGCCGCCCCGAGCGCCATCATGTGTAGCCGGGGACTCTCCCGGACGCAAATACAATTACGCCATGCAGTACTCGAGTACAGTACAATACAATAATTGACAGACGGATTGGGGAGGGAAGAATGAAATCGATCCTAGGTTCCAGATAACGAATAACGAATATAACGAAACGCAGAAACAACAACGATGAGGGAAAAAACGAAAGTGCATGCACGGTCAGCTTATTAGCTTATGGAGAATTCCCGTTCGACTAACTACTTGTATAATGACTATTGCACAAAGGGTATAAATTGAAAAAGGGGAAGGGATCTAACCGCCATCTACACAAAAAAAGGGCTAACAAAGGGGAAAACAGGACAGGATCCGCAGGGAAGCGGGCCGCTTTGACTCGAGCATTATGGCATGAGCTTATGGCATGAGCTTAAATCTTACATCCTAGTCACTGCAATAGAAATTAGAAATACACTTACGACGATAATGCTATATATTAAATCTCGTTTTTGCTTCGTAAGTACTCGAGTATGTACTTAGGAACTGCTCCTCCTCTGATCTTCCTCTTTCTTTTTATCCCTATGGACTTGGGAAGTGTCTTTTTCCTTTAGAAACTTATCGGTACAGTATCTACTGTACTCAGTAGTCTCTTACCTTAGTTACTTAGTCGTCGTCGTTTCATAATTGAGGAAATAGGGAAATAGTCTGTGCTTGCCTTGTGACCTAGCCTTCTAATAATTCTCCCACCGCCCACCGCCCACCGCTTGACAATATTTAGGGTTGGTTACCCGAGCGAATGTTTTAGGGCTCGGGGATTTTCACTCCTGTCTACCGATTGGTAATTTGGTTCGCTTCACCCTTGTTCAGTGTTCAGTAAGACTTGTAACGGTGTAACCTCTTTTTGGGCGGGTGCCTGGTAAGGTTAGCATGGGCTGATCATCCCCAAGCCCCGTAATAATCTTCGAGAGGCCTGTCGGTTCGGAGTATCGTATCGTTGCTGACGACGTTATGTAGCTTTCCGTCTTCTGGGCCCATCAGGGCTGAAATGAAAAGTCCGGGGGTAACATTATTCATCGGGGGGGGTGGGGGGTCGCCGATGTTACCGTACTTGTCTGTCTGGTCGTTTATACTGTACCCAAAACCCAGATCGATCAATATTGAAGATGCAGTTCATGTATTGCTAACAGAAGTTGAAGATCACCCGGATATGAATGGAGAACGATAAAGAGATCTCATCCGGGGCCCGATAATATGTAATCTCACCAGCATTATTCCCATGCCGTTCGAACGAGATGAACCTTTTCTCCACAAAGTCCACTTGTACCAGCCTACCAGGGCATCACATTGCCAAGGACCCATATTCAGTCGGAAAAAAAAACGTGAAGAGAACAATATAAATGAAGAGATGAACGGCCCAGAATCATGGGTAGGGTAGGGTAGGGACTCGGGAGGGCATGTCCTTGTCAAATACCTTTGTTACAGATGAAAACCGAAGTTCACCGAAGAAAATGATGGAAATCCAGAACTTTTGATTGGCATTGGCATTATGGGATGTACGATGATGAAATCTTAATTAGGAATTTTTGGACCTCGTGTTTATTAGTAACTTTAGTTGCAGAAAATGGCAGAGTTTTCGAGTTTTCCCCGATTGTGACTCTTATTATATTCGAGCAAGAAGACAGGAGTTCTCGATAGAAACGGGGACAGATAATTACAACTAGCTAACACAACATAAATGGATCGATCTTGCTAATGCCTGACAAGCATGTAAAAGGGAGTTTCTTTTCCTAAGATGGAAGTATTTTATTTCATGTTATTCACCAAAGAAATCTGATAAGATGACTGACTGACTGTGCGAGACGAGATTCAATGTAAATACTGTAGCTATGTGAGGCCAGAACCAGAACCTATCTATCTTTCATCTGAAGATATTTTTCGTGCTCGGGGTTTTGGTAACTCGAGTATATGTCGATTGATCATCTGAACAACCCTTTTCAATTTGTTTTCAAATTTCAACTCTATGATATGAAATGATTGTACTCGAGTAGAGTACAGTACAAATACTAAACTTCAGCTGGTCTCGTAGAGTCGTAGTAAAGCAGTTTCGGAATCGTAGTCAAGCAAGTTAGCAATATACCACTGTCTACCAATGTCTACAGGTTATCCTTTCCTCGAGTTTTATCCCGTGTACTGTTACATACTGTGCTTACATTCATTTTCAACAGCGTTAATGCAGGTACAAAAGTATTAGAAAACCGTGACAGCTTCCACCGTTTCAAAGGCCCCCTTTTCATAATTGTAGTCTAATCGCAAGAGATTCTGATAACGCTACTGTCTGTAATGGGCGGATATCTGATTTCTGCACAGATTACCTACTAGGTCGATAATGTTTTTATGTTTCCTTTCCTTCCAGAAACTCCATTTTTAATTGTCAGAATTTCCTATTTGAAATTGTTCAGAACTGTATTAATATACTCGTACTAATATGTCATTGGATATTAATCATATTATAATTACATTATTACTGGTATATCTCTCTTAATTATCTGTACCAGTCAATACCTAGTATTCCTCAGCTTGAACCTAAGCTAAATAGAGAACAGAGAAGGGGGGATACCGTCTTACCATCAACTAACTGAGTTTGGAGCGAACCGTATTGGATCTAGCTGCAGATCATGTCAAAAAGCTAAACAGATTGTATGATTGGAAGAATCAGGAAAGCGAAGCGGTATACTTATCGCTAATCCCAAAAGCTAAACCCTACCACCTATCAAAACGCTATCAATATATCAATATGGAAGTGAGTATTCACACAGACCTTCATCAAATGGATATAATAGAAAGTAAATAAAGGAAAGGAGAAGAAAGAAGTGTAAATATATAGATGAAATAAATCAGAACGAAATGCTATCATTCATAATAAACTATACTATCTAGGTATACTATTACACTTCACCTCTTTTCCTTTCTCTTTTGGAAAAGATATTCAGATAGATATACATGCAATCATCACATATACATCCAGACCGAGTACATAACATTGAACAACAATTAAGAAAAAAAAGTCTTGGAAAGTATCATAATTGCCGCCACCATTCTCTCAGTCATTTCCATCTGATCTGGGATCACTGATAATAACTCTTCTGGAATTCTGGAAGTTCTGTTTTATTCTAGATACGAGTAGATGTATATCGATACACAAACACTGAAATTCATTAATCCGATACAATCGCACAGAGTAACTTACATTACCCCTCTGCCCTCCCTCCACCTTCCGCAAAAAGTACAACAATTGACCCTCAAGCATTAGGTATATCATATCATATCATATCATATCAAATCTCACCCACCTACAAGCAGGCAGCTCATCATCATATCAAATCCATCCAACCCCCAGCTTCCTAAACCCTATCATCTCATCTAATTGGCCACCCAATCACCACCCACAATACAAAATTTCCCCAAAATCGAAAATAAATATATACCTTCCCCCGCATCAATATTGCTTTTAAATAACCTGCACCGCCTGCATTACCGCATAAATATTGCAGCAGATTTTACGAGCGAGCACCACCTACAATCAAACTTACATTTGCTTCTTCCCGTCACGCAACTGGCGTTGTTTGGATCTTGTCTTGGCCTGTATCTTTGTATCTTTTCATTTATTCTTTATTTAGGTCTAATCCCATTGCATGCAAGCCCTTCCATCCCATAAATGCAAACCTGGACCTGGTAAACTACTAGGTACACTTGCATTAATTTCTCCTGCTCCTGCGCTCTCCTTGTTCTACTTCTGTTCCAATAGATAAAAGTGACGATTTGTTAGATTTCGCAACGAACAACCAACACGTGAGAAAGTCAATAAGACTATTTTATTACTTTTTCCAAATTGATTATCGTTTTATATTTCCCTCTTTTCTCCCTTTTCTATCTCCTCTTCTGGATTTTCTATACAACACATACACACACTCACTCACACACTCACTGGACATTTTTTAATCAAAATTTTACATCAATTCGATTCGATAGCGCAGATTAAAAAAACATCGGAAATTCAATTTCTATAGGATACCATAGGTCGACAATATTATTTATACACAAATATAATATACGAGTTACTGGTACTGTACACAGCAACATAGCAACGGCGGCACTACCCAAACCCAAACCCAAACCTAAATAAAACACACAGAATGCCATTAATTGATTCATAAATCCGTATTTATATTTATACCTACCTAGGTAATTAATTACTCAAACCATCCTTCCTTTCGAAATTTATAAGCTTTCAACCTGTCAACCTTTCACTTTAACTTCACTCTTCACTTCACTTCTCATCTCACGGTTCACTTCACTTCACTTCTCACGGGTTCACCTCCACCTTACCCCCTTCATCTAATCTAGACCGACCCCTCGTCTCGTCTCGTCTCGCCAAACCCAAACCCAACTAACCTGACCAATTTACCATCATCCTTCCCATCCTTATCACACCACATCCACACCTAGAAAAGATTGTACTCGGTAAGTACCTAGTACCTACTCCGTACCAACCAACTCCACCTACCCCCGCCCTCACCCTCACCCTCGCCCTCGCCCTCGCCCTACGAACGAAACACCCAAGACTCGCACTCCTATCCTAATCTATCATATCCTAACCTAACCTATCCTAACCTATCCTCTCCTATCCTCTCCTATCCAATCCAATCCAATCCAGCCCCATACAAAAAAAAACCATAAAACAAGAAAACCATAAAACCATAAAATCATAAAATAATAATAAAAACTCGGCATAATCCCAGGGCCCGGGGGTCCTTCCCGTAAGATTCAATTCTTAAGAAACTAGAACTAGAACCAAGAAACAGAATGAACTAAGAACTAAAAGAATTAGAAACTAGAAACTAAGCTTTTCAGTATTTCGAATTACAGTACAGTATTCATAATTTTAAACAAGTCAATAAACCCGGTTCGGTCATGCTATATCATATATCAATCATATCATATCATAAAGATGATATAACCTATTCATCCACCACCCCATTTCCATCCCCGTCCATCCCATCCCATCCATCACCGTGAATGATTTTCCGAATTTCTTCCTTCCTTACACTTACTTACTTTATTGTACCTGTACCAACATCCATCAACATCAACATCGAAAATAGATCCCACGTTTTTGATTTCTCTTATCACTGCAACAGCTTCCAATTGCAACACCACACCACACCAGTCTACTCCACTCCACCCCCATCAGACCCAGAATTAAATTAAAAATTCTACGAAAAACGAGAGTGTACAACATACTTTGCTTACCTTACCTTACCTGCACCTATCGTACCTACCGGTCTGCCTAGCCACCTGCATATCATATCATATCCTATCATCAGCCTGCCTGCCAGTTACCGAAGCTCACCCTATATAATATTATCCATCCATGTTCACGGAATCTTTCCAGCACGACTACAGTACTGCACTGCCATATTTTCACACCTACAGCCTACATCCATCCATCCAGGATTATTAATTACCAAGCATAGCTCCTAGCAAAGCAAAGCAAACAGATCAGAGATACATCGTACACGCGACCTTGCACAACATCTCCCGACATTCTTTCAAAGTAAACTTACACATTACATACATACCTACCTACCTACCTACATACATACACAACAACGATCCCGTCCTGCATACTGCGTGGAATTTTCGATACATTATCTTCCCATATCAGATCATCAGAGCAAGAGAAGAGATTGGGTGCGAGGAAACGAGGAAACGAAAGCACGCAACTAAAGTAATACGTCGTGTAGCCTCGGGACCATCGTTTTGAGACAAGGTCTGGATACACAACATATAATCAACACGCTCCTTTTGGGTAATACGCCGTACGTGCTACCTAGTCAAAAGACTGGATGAACATTACGTGAAGAAGGAGAAATAGAAGGGAGCCTTTCAATTCCGAATCCGAATCTTTCATAGTCCAGCCAGTCAGCCATTCTTTAACGTTTCTCCTTCGTGTTTATTGAGAAGTAGCCATCTCTGTGAGGAGTTGTTTGTCTTCTTGTCATTCGTTTATCCCATCTATTTCGACGTCGCGTTCCGGACACCGCTATCCATAGCTACCGTTCTAAAGGATCTGTATTCCTCGTTGCCGTCTTAAATCAAGTCATACCACGGATGCCATCACTTCAGTAACGCCACGGCTTCACTCGTTCAGCAATCAACATCATGACGGCCTCCAAAGCACTGCCACTGAGTTTGGGATTTTTAGCATTGGCAAGTGAGACTGTCATGCTTACCTTCAATATCATCTTTTCAATCACCATTTCGAAATATGATACGCCAAATCGAGCAAGCGTATCATCTTATGTCGCATCAGGTCTTGGAGCCGTCACGGAAGCATTACTGGTGCTACTGGTGATCAGACAGACCAGATGCCAAAACTACATCCAAGACCATGGAACCGGGCGGCTGCGAATATATCTCTTCGCCGGACTTACCTCCGTATTTACTGTATTATCAGCAATAGCTACAGCACTATCACTGTGTTTTATGAGACAAGATTTGTCTCTACTTCCAATCAAAATTCTTTCCTCTCCTGCGACATCCATGACGATGGGTGGATTCGTTATTTGGGCAATATCGTTGGCTTCGCAAGCTGTATTTCTCATTTGTTTGGTGGTATTCCAAAGAAAAGACTTTCATCAACAGATTCAACCATACATCACCGAATCGGAGCCACACGCTTCTTCAGAAATGCAGGAAAGATCACAACCTCACAGCGTACACGAAGGGTATGGCTATGAGAGAAACGGCTCAATAGAGTCGAAGACTCAATGGTCAACTGGAGGACGATCTCGATCAGGGTCAGATCCCAAGGGCTCGATCGGCTCGTTTCGATCGACAGTCTCGCATGTTGTGCGCCCAATCACCTCGAAAACACGACTGATTCATTCCAACAGCCAACTCAGTAACAGTTTTCGACCACCTTCTATCGATTCGATTCAGCGCGAAATGATTGTATCGATTGAAGACGACTTCGACTCCTGGAATACATCGGGTGTAGATGCGCAATCTCGACAAGTTATCGAATCAGCTTCACCTAGTCTTCCAAGGTTTCTCGAAACCATTCCAGCAAGTCCCACTGGTAGCAGAAGTCCTAGCCCGGAATTTCCGTTAGATTTGGAACCACCAAGGCCGACACGAAGTCGAAGTTACAGTCCGGCCGCTAGTATCAGGAGTGAGAGATCCATCTACCGAGCTAGGGTGGCGGCGATGGGTACAGAGAGCACAAATGAAGAAAATATACACCCCTTATTTAGATCCGACTCTCCTGGTCCAGCACCGTACACAACCGCCGAAACAATAATAACAGCTGCTCCCGGAGCTGGATCGATTACCTTATCGGATGTTCGTAGCATCCGTTCGATAAAGCGACTGAGAAGCGAAAGTCTGCCTCCACTCATGCATAACCCCAGTCTGGACAGCCTCCGACGAGCGATAGAACAGGAAGATATGGAGAATGCCGAAGAAGCCGAGAGTGAGCGTTCTCTAACACCACCTATACCGGAATGGATATTAGGAGCTGGACCGCGCTCCAGTATGTCCGAGTACAACCGCAAGAAGGCAATGTCTGAGAGTAAAGTAGGAAGGGCTGATACGGCAGAGTATTGAGCAATGAACATTGGGAGGTGGTGGTTCAAATAATGTTTGATAAGAAACTCCATGAGTGGAATGATAGCGAAAGGCGGAACGAATTTCTTTGCTCAATAAAGCGGGGATGGAATGTCATGACGAAACCAGATACCATTTGATATTAGCGTGGCGTTAAGTTTTGAACTTTAGATATACCTTAAATCTTAACGAAATAGATGAATTTTTTGAAAGAATCATGGTTCCATTATGAATTTATGATACGGTGGATGTTTTCGTTGTGTAACCCTTAGGTTTTTCGACGGCGGACTAAAAGAGTCATAGTAGTGTAGTAGTAGTAGTATTGGTGGATGAACATGGGTATATGCACCAAGACATATACGAGTATATCGATGATATCGAAATGAATAGCCTCGAAGCGCCTCGAACGGTCGAGTTATGTTGGTTCTTGAGTTGATGTTATGTTTGGTTCTGAATCCTCGGCAGACAAGGCTGAATAAGATTCGACCCCGCAACTACCTACCTCGTAACTCGTACAGACAGGCATAGGTAGTATTTTCTGCCACATCATACGAGTTACCTTTAGATAGACTTTCTTTTTGCCTGAAGCTGCAATTCGTATTTATCGGTGGTGAGTGAATTCATAGAATTGGATGGAAAGGGTTCTTTGTTATTTTGTTATCGTAAAGGGTAAGATATGGTAAGGAATGGCAAGGACAAGAGTAAGAGTAAGAGTAAGAGTAAGAGTAAGAGTAAGAGTAAGAGTAAGAGTAAGAGCAAGAGCAAGAGCAAGAGTAAGAGCAAGAGCAAGAGCAAGAGTAAGAATAAGAGAAAGAGCAAGAGCAAATGAATAGTGAGGACTTTAATAGAAATATTATATTGAATTGAATAATGTGAATAATTGAAAGTCTTGAATTTATACTAATGGTTGACAAGAATTGGTAACTGGTATTGTACAAGCAAGAAATCCGAATAATGATCCGATATACGACTACCAGTTGCAGCCTGGTTATTGGCGCTAATTCACGCCACTAAACTGGTCCGTGCAAGGGATAGAGGGTTGTTACTAACTAATAACTTATCCACCAGTTTCTTTTATCATTATCCTCCAAGTTCGTTCTTTCTATCAAGGCGCAACTCCAAACTTATTACAACATTTTCAACATTCTATCTTATTGAAGGTTAACTGAAAACTCTCGATATTACATTCAAAACACCTTTTCCCTCTAACATATCAACCTTCATCAACCTCTCACAGCTACCTACCAGTCTTCATCACAGTCGCATTTTCAAATCGCCAATATGAAGTTGACTTTCAAGGTATATTTGTTACTTACCTCTCCATTATCCAACTTCAAAGAGTCTGTATACTAATTACTGTTGGTCGCATTTAGGATTTGAAGCAACAGAAGTTCGTCATCGAGGCTGAACCTACTGAACTTGTATGTACCCTATGTGCTCGAACCTCGATTCTACTCTATCCTACCACTACCGCTGCGTTATATAATCTTGGGATGAAAGCTGACACAGATAACACAGATCTCTGAGATTAAGGAGAAGATCTCACAGGAGAAAGGATGGGAGGTATCGCAACAAAAGTTGATCTATTCTGGTATGCTTTGAAACCGCGCGCAGATGTTTATGGCTGGTTAAAGGCTGTTGGCGCAGGTCTTGCTAACAAAATATCTAGGTAAGATTCTACAAGATGCGAACACAGTAGAGTCCTATCACATCGAGGAGAAGGGATTCATCGTCTGCATGGTCTCAAAGGTAAATATCTTCAACCGACCTAACACTATTTACCTCTGTTTTTAACACTTGTTATAGCCCAAGGCTGCACCAGTTGCGTCCTCGTCTGCGCCTAAAGCTCCATCAACTCCGGTTCCAGCCACAGCTGCTACCCCCGCTCCACCTGCCGCGCCCGCACATTCTTCGAGTACTGCAAACATCGCTGTTCCAGCTACACCTTCTCCTGCTGGTGCCTCGGTCCCATCTGTTCAAGCCACACCATCAAATGAAACTACTGGTCTTGCGATGGGAGCTGACCGCTCAGCACAAATCGCCGAAATGGAGGCTATGGGCTTCGAGAGATCACAAATCGATTTGGCTATGCGTGCCGCTTTCTACAACTCGGAGCGTGCCATCGAATACTTGTTGACTGTAGGTTAAGATAAGTTCGAGAAATGTTGACAATTACTAATGATAATATAGGGAATTCCAGAAAACCTTCTCCAAGAACAACGACAAGCTGCACCTGCCGCACCTGCTGCCGGTCAAGCTTCTTCCCCCCCTGCTGCTGGCGGTGAGGATGATCCAGTCGATCTCTTCGCAGCAGCTGCTAACGCTGGTAATCGCGGAGGAGCTGCTCGTGGAGGAGCTGGGGCTGGAGCCGGTATATTGGGCGATGCGGGAGTTGGAGCTGTAGCTGGTGGACTCGGCAGCCTCGAGTTTCTCCGAAACAACCCCCAATTCCAGCAACTTCGACAAGTCGTTCAACAACAACCTCAGATGCTCGAACCAATCCTTCAACAGGTCGGAGCTGGTAACCCACAGTTGGCAACTTTGATCAGTCAACACCCAGAGCAATTCTTACAACTTTTGAGTGAGAATGCCGATGACGATGCGCCACTTCCACCAGGAGCACAGGCTATTGAGGTTTCGCCAGAGGAACGTGAAGCTATTGAGAGAGTAAGGAGTTTCCATCCCCATAAATTTTACTTTCCACTTACAATCCATAGTTATGTCGTCTTGGTTTCAACAGAGATCAAGCAATTCAAGCTTACTTTGCGTGCGATAAAAACGAAGAATTGGCGGCAAACTTTCTCTTCGAGCAACCGGAGGATGAGGAATAGATTTCTTTACTTCTATGATTCTCGTATCTCCAAATTCAAACAATTTTCTACTTTATTCCCTTTTCGTTGAGCGAATGAACATGAATCCGCTTCCCAATTTTCGTATTTTCGTATGGTAATACCGGAGACTGAGGGAAGGGAATCGAAGGGGTGGCGGGGAAGTGGGAAATGAGTGGGAAGCAAGAAGGCTGGCATTTTTTTTTTTTCATAAGGTCGGAAGGGAGGGATTTGTGACGGACGAGTTACGAAAGTACACACAAGTACACACGTTGCATACTACTTCTCCACCATAGTAAAAATGAATGTAAACTCATTCATCGTACAAGCCTCGTCTTTTGACAATAGTGGAATAACAAATAAGGAATAAGGAAAAATACGTTAAAATAAACCTGTAAAGCTGACGGCCTCCTTTCTTGTATGTATGTATATATATGTATAAGAGATGATGAGGTATAGATATATAGATTCTACTTTTAATTTGAATTATATTCTTATATTTATATACAATTACATATATACACACTCTCTCTCTCAATAGTAGAAATACAAATAAGGAATAAGAAAAGATATATTAATATAAATCTATAAAACTAACGATTTCCTTTCTTGTGTATATATATATATATATAAGATGAGAGAGATATATAGATTCTACTTCTTCTAATTTGAACTATGATCTTATATTCTCATATTCACACACAAGTACACACACATACTCACTCTCTCTCTCTCTCTTCTCCAAGCGGCTACTCGATCCTACCGTTGCCGTTCATTTGCCGCGTCCTTCAAGGTTTGTCAGGTTGATATTTAGACAGTTTAGTGTACGGTAACCTATGCGAGTCCACCAATCAGATCGTAGGAAAAGTATGATATGTCCGTAGGTGCAACTATTAAGACTTCACACTTTTGTATTTTCCTTCATTAACGATTACCTTTGCTCCAACATTTGATTCTTTAACTCTAATCTACTATTCACATTCCAATCTGTACTTCAAGCAATATTTCATCCATATTTGGAAATCAATTTTCTATTTGAAAGAGAACCAACCGACCCTTCAGAACGAAAAACGCACTACCGGTGGTCATTAATCCAAGACATCCGTCACCACCTTACTTCGACTTTTCCCAGCTTCGTTATAATACTTTACAAAGCTAGCAAATCCAATCTCAACAACCAACATGGAACCCCCGACATATTCTACGCGCTCTAAACGTAAATCTAATGAATTGGAGCGCAGTTCATCCCCTTCAAAAAAATCACGAACATCGCTTGATCTTCCACCTTCTTCTCCATTATCATCTCCATCCTCTACGTCAGCTGACGCCGTTTTAACTCAAAGTCCAATGGACTCTGAAAATCTTGATATCGACGCGGGAATACCTCTCCGAGGAGGATTTCGCGGTCGAGGTCGTGGACGCGGGAAAATTCGTGGGGCGGGACGAGTCCGACGAAATGGGAATGCGAAAGTTCACGTTTCAAAGGTCACAGATCTGGATGTCAATGCAGGTATGGCAGGTGGAAAAACCTTTCGTGGAAGGGGTGGCCATCGGGTGAAAAAATCAAGTAATGCGAGGATACAGAGTTTGTATCATCGTAAACAATTGCTCAAGACTCAGTATAAGCAGGTGGCTTTGTTGCAGAGAGCCGCCCTGGATACCATTGCGGATAAGTCGTTACAAGCTACGAGCGAGGATCCAAAATATCATGAGACGTTGCCGGAATTTGTGAGGATTTGTGATCAATTGGTTGCGAAGTATGAGGAGAGAGTTGCGCTGCTGGAGGCTCAGCGTACATTTCAATTGCAGAATGCGGAGAAACAGAGGTTTCTTGCGGAGCAATATACTAAGGGGGTATATGAGGTATGTTATTCAATGATCATTATCAACAACATTGTTAACATATTTATAGACAAAAGTAGATATGATCAAGGAAAAGTACGATTTGATTATCAAGAGAAGACTCATTGAAGAACATCAGCAAATGGAAATGCGATCTGGTGCTGATAGTCCATCTCAGCATGAAGTAAGTGAAGGAGACTTTTTTATATCAATTGTTACTGATATTTACCAGCTTGATTTTTCACATATCAAAAGAATACCCGAAGAAAACTTTATTCATCCCGCAGATGCGTGGGTTGATGGTGGTCGTGCCACACAGCTTGCTGCTGAAGCTGAGAAGGAAAAGGGTAAAAAACGAGGCGGTCGTGGAAAGAAATCTACGAAGTTGCCTGCATCACCGTTCAAACCTCTAGATGTTGTGAATCCCGATGAGACTGAAGTTGCGCCAAAAAAGACATCCTTGTACCAACCTGCGACCTCATTATCTCTCGCTACTACCGTGGATGGAGATTCTGCAGCTCCCACCCCAACCGAATTGACCGAGCAAGAAGATGCCGATGAGCTCGAGACCGATAAATTTGGAGTTTACATACCAAATAAAGCAAGACCTAGAAATGGCGATCCACCAAATAATCGTATAGTGGTTGAGCCTCCATTTACTTTCGATGACGATGAAATTGGTATCCGTCATCACCATTACAAGAAGTACAACAAGAATGATCTCCCAACATTCATTGGAATGGACCCTACTCCACAGCCAAAAACCTTCCACTATGATCCTTGGGTAAGGAATCATCATTCTACGAACAACCGACTGGAAGATTTGGATCAGACGATTGTTGAAACTCATAAACTGCATCCTACTTTGGGTTTGCCTGTCAGGGGTTCCATTAATCCTACACTTACTATGAGAAGTGATTGGAGTAAACCCGTAGCAGAGACCAAACCTGTTGTCTTCGTTGTCGAAACTCAAGATGAAGAATCTCTCAAGCCAAGATTTGAGACTTCTCGATCTGCATGGATGGCGCGTACAGAAAGAGAATTTGCGGATCTTGGTCATCAGCTCAAGATGGCTGAATCTTTGGAGGCGATTGGTCTTCGTGATCCTATCCTTCGTCCAATTGAGGAGAGGGTCGAACCTCAAATTATTGGCAAGATTAGTGATGATTTGTTGCGGGCTGTATCAGAGGCAATGAATCCTTCACGTATGCCGGCTCCATCAATAACCTCAATCAGAGCAAATTCAACAGCTCCAACTTCGGTACCTGGAACACCTGCGCCAACACAAAGAACTCAGGGTTATGACCCAGTCCGTGATACTGGATATTCTCCTCACGCACGTCGATCCCCTGTCAAAAATATCAACCATACTGGAAACCTAGGTTTTCTCGCCGATGCAGCCGAACTACACGGAGCATCCCAAACACGCGGAGGCTATCCCCAGTCTATCACTCCAGCCCCAAGACCAATGCAACAATTTCAACACACTTTCCCCCAACCAGAATTCCATAGAGCAGCTCCATCATTTGCGCCTCCACCCCCACATATGAAACTCCCGCATCCATCACCAATGACTCTTCCACCTCCTCCTCAGCCGTCGCAGCAACAGACGCAGTTCTTTCAATATGCGGGTCCGTCCCAGGCTCAAGGTGGTTCGCATAATAGGTACAAGGAGATTCTTCCGGCTCCGCCACCAAGAAGAATGCAGTCCGCTTCGTTGCCGGTACCGGTGCTGCCGGGGGGTATGAGCTTTAATCCGTTTTCGAATGGGAACACGTTTGGGGGTAATTCGGGGAGATAAGATGTGCTTGATTGGGGAAGACGAAACACGGATCACGAATTCATACTAGCCAAAAAGTTTCGAATGTTAGAAGAGTCTCAGATATTACGGCAATCACATGTCTCAATTGGTTTAATAAGGCGCTGAACTCGGATCTGGTTGGGTGGGCTATCGAAGACTACATGCGTTCATCAAACAAATGAACTGGAACTAGAATTAGAAGGGCGAAATGGAAGAGCGAAATCAATATTAGCATTAGGAGCACAGCAGCGCAGTCACAAAAGGGTTTTTTATTTTGGCTCTTTTTGGTGAACGAATTTCGTTTTAGCAATGGGATGGGAGGGGAGGGGACGGGAGGGGAGGCAGGAGTCTTGGGTGAGAATTTGAGGGTTATTAAATTGTGGAATGGTTGAAAAGATGGAAAGGTGGAGAGAGGTGAGAATATGGGGAATCGAAATGATTAATTTTTTAACGCTTTGGGGGGTTAGAGATGTATGTAGAAATGTAGAAAAGAAAATTTTCCGAATTTTGTGGCTTTGAGTTTTGAGTTTGGGATTTGGAATTTGCTTTGGAGTGCAGTGCTGTGTTTTTGATGAATGTGTTGAATGAATGGATTGATATAATTTATTTAGATTTATTTCTGATGGGTTTTGTGAGTTAGGTAGTTTTGGCTAGTGAGTATACGATACGAGTATTGATAACAATAAATTTCCAAAAAAAGACTCAATTTATTGAATTTCAAATTACTTTCTAGCTAATTTATCATTTAACAAGTTTCTCGTTAGTAGAGAGGGAGGATGCTGATGAGTCTCCAAACAGAATAATGATTTGATGATTTGAATTTCTGACTGATTCCTTAAGTCTTGAGTGTATTTGAAATGTGCATTTATAGTTGCCAGTGGGCGCTGCCCGTTCTTGTGTTGGTTTTGGGTGTTCTTCATCGTTTTTGATATCCAAATAAAATATCTCTGTAACATATCCAAAAGCATATCCAAAGCACAACCAAAGCACAACCAAAGCCTATCCAACCCATAACTAAACTGCATCACTCCATAAGAATAGAGGGTTATTTCATCATCGCTCACTACTTCATTTCCAGTATGCACCATCAGTTTATCCCAGTCTCTCCACATCGTTCTAGAAGCAAGATGTCGGAGCTCAACCTACAACCTTCTCGTCAAGATCATGGCTCTAATCCCATCTCTAGTGGCCACAACAGAAAGGCCTTAATTTTAGTACAAGGTGGGCCTGTGGAAAGGGAATGGTCATTCCCAGCGTTATCCCATTCACTCAAGATTGACCCACGCCTTCCTCGACCTATGGGTCGATGCCGATACAAAGTGGCAATATGGAAGAAATTTGTGGTACCGGATGTACCGAACGATGCACATAGTGGGACTTGCTTCATCGCCCACTCAGAAAAATGTGTGCGATACAATCCTCGATGTGGACCGAAGGCTTGCTGTGGAGAATCTGTTAACGAACCTGACAACAAGGAGGGGTTTTGTCTTGGGGAGAATTGCCCGGGGCTTGAAATGCTTGTGGATGGGCAAAAGCCCGAGATCCCGGATGTCGACTTCGTTATGGAGTATTATTATGGACATGACATTGACCAGTTAGAAACCGAGAGAAAATGGCTGAGGATAGTGAGGCTCCAGGAAAAATACGGGAAGACCCCATTTCCTGCATGGAAGAATGCGGATGGGGAGAATAATCCGTCTTTTGCGGAAGGAACAAGAGAACTTCAGGGAGTGGTGGATCCAGAGGAGATGCCACACACGAGGCAGGTTATGAGCCATTATCCGGTCTAACTCATTATGGCCAAACCACTATGCGTGGGTGTCTGTTTAATTTCTTTGTGTAGGTAGTGGTTGCATAACGATGAGCTGGTGGGTTGATAGGGTGGTATGTATGGTATGGTATGGTGTTTTATTGACGGGTTCAGTAGTACGAATGTCTTGCACGAGCAATGAAAATATTGGTAGGGTTTTGGTCTTTGGTGTACTGGATTGAGCTTGAATTGGGAGCTTGCAGTGGTTTTTCTTAAACAAATTAATAAACTTGGAAGCAGCTTCGAAACTTCTGGCTGTTCTCGTATTCCCAACACAGTTGTGCAATAATAGGTAAAAAAAAAAGATAGAGTTTTTGCATGTCTAGTTGTAAAATGTCTTCTTTGAGGCATTCAAATTTCAGAGTCCCAAGGAGAAAGGTATAAAAGATCAACCAAGTACCTATCTTTGACTCTTACTACAGATTCTTTATGCCTCCGACTGAGACTACGAGGCGCATGCATAGCATACTCGCCACTCAATTATCGTGAATGAACCCACTTGATGTTCATTTCGATAACTCGTAGACCATCAGAACCCAAACAAAGCCCATCCTATCCCATTTGCGATATCAAGGCAATATTTCCCATCTACTCAATTGAGCCTCACTGCGTCGACGTCTTATTACTTACTTGTACTTGAGAGTCTTCACTCTTCATTCTGAGCAAAGATGAGTCGAAAAGCTTTAACAGTATTTGAACAGAGTAAGAGTCATCCCACATAGAAAATCCCTGCTAGCGTTATTTTACCCATCGAGAATGCTTTGCCGATTTCTCCAATAAATCCAAGTGCAGAGAACTTCGAAAATCTTCAAAAGCAAAACGATTATAATCTACAACGACATCATACACGCATTCCTTTTCACTTTTTGAATAGGATTTTCACCGGAAACAAATACAGATACCCAAGAAGATAATTTTTGAGAAACATTTATAATGGCGGTTCGTGCCCAATTCGAGAATTCAAATGAGTAGGTTTCTGTCTTACCCCTCCTCGTTGCAGATGAAATGATGGATGGGATGGGAGAGAGGGTAGTTACCCCACTATTGGTGGCACAATTGATGTGATGTGCGGTGGAAATGGTGGGATTGAAATGAGAACTGCGGAGAGGAGAAAAGAAGTAGAGTTTTGAATAATGGATGTGATGCTGACGAGATGATTTGATTAGAGTCGGTGTCTTTGCTACATTGACAAATTCATATGCCTTGGTGGCAGTAGGTGCAAGTGAAAATTTCTACAGGTATGTATATCTTAAACCCCTATACTTTCAACTTCCGGCGCATTCACATCCTCTCGGTGGGAGACAGTAACTAATGAGGCAAACAAAAAAGTGTATTCGAAGCAGAACTCCAAGATGTTATCCCAATTTGCCATGCGACAATCGCAGGAACTCGTATCATTGGACGTTTGACAGCAGGTAACAAGAAGGGACTTTTGGTGCCAACGAGTACGACGGATCAGGAATTGCAACATTTGAGAAATAGTTTGCCAGATGGTGTCAAGATACAGGTAGGTTTTTTTTTCATTTGCTATTGGAGGAGTGGACGGCTTTGCTTTGCGGTGCTTGTGGATGGCTTTACTTTTCTCCTTCAAGGCTCCGTTTCTCCATTAGTACTAGTACTAACGAATAATCTAAATAGAGAATAGAAGAGAGACTCTCAGCTCTCGGAAACGTCATAGTATCCAACGACCATGTCGCACTCGTCCATCCGGATCTCGAGCGCGAAACCGAAGAAATTATCGCCGATGTCCTCGGAGTCGAAGTATTTCGTCAAACAATCGCTGATAACGTCCTTGTCGGATCCTACATGGCACTTTCCAACCAAGGTGGTATCGTGCATCCTAAAACCAGTATCCAGGATCAAGATGAATTATCTTCGTTATTACAAGTTCCATTGGTTGCGGGTAGTGTGAACAGAGGTAGCAGTGTTGTAGGTGCGGGTATGGTTGTTAACGACTGGATGGCGGTTACCGGGTTGGACACTACAGCTACAGAATTGAGCGTGGTAGAGAGTGTGTTCAGGTTAGGTGAAGGACAGGGTCCAAGTGATATTGCGGGAAAGAACAAGGATACTATGGTGGAGAGTTTCTATTAAGTATTTGGTGGTGGAATATATGGGAGAGCGTGGAGGGTTGGAGACTCTAGTCTCATGGCTTCGGCCTTCAATGTTTATTATAGAGTGGTTATCATGACGCATTTGCTAGCAGGGGCTTTGTCTCTCACATTGCTGAGATATAATTGACACAGCGAGCGGGTCAATTGATGACTTTGAATCGAGACCTTTTCTCTCATCTGCAAGCATGGCGTGGTATCTTCGATTGGTATATGCCAAAGGAATCCAATACAATAGTACTAGACTAACATCCCAACCCCAATTGTTATTTTATATCTAATTTATCCAGTATAATAGATCAGCACAGATCTTACCAATTGTAAATAGTCTCGGTCTATGAGCTGTGCCATGAATATGCAGACATATTGATGCAGTTACCCCTCTATGAATTATCTGATAGTACAACCTCCATATCTACAAGGCTTTGGAAGCTTGAGTCAGTCCAATTCACCGTACTTCCTTCTCTCTTCTACATTTAGAAGTATCGTACCGTACCGTACATTCACTCAATTCAGCCAAACCAATATCCCCAATCGAACCGAAATTCTTGATAATCTACACGTGATGAACCCGCCGTCTTCGTGTTGTGCGTCCGTGCGCATCGAAAAGAAAGTTCACTTTTACTTTTACGTTTACTATTTTTTTCGGAGTTTTCTTTATTTTGATGATCTTCCTAGTTGGTATCTTCTACTTGTTTGAGATCGCTTTTCAATCTTTTCAATGATGGTATGATGGTCACGCAATAAGGTTGATTATTAGTTGGAGGTTTATCGTCGCCACAGGTTGGAGTTTTGAGAAAAACGGGATAAAAGACAGTGGTTAAGAAAGAACGAAAGTGCCTTGTTGTACCTGGTGAAGCAAGAGGGAAAATCTAACAAACGTGATCATCTTCAGAAATGGATGGGGGTATTTTGGAGATGGATCTGGGGATGGACCTTTATGAGGAGTGGGATTGGCAGAGGTTTAGGGAGGCGGAGAGTATGGAGTTGGAGGATGAAGATGAGGGTAGTGTCATGCAGCTAGGGATGGGGATGGAGAATGGGGAGGAGGTTAGGAAGGATGTTAGGGAGAGGATGGAGAATGGGGAAAGAAAAGAGGATGTGGGTGAAACGGAGGAAGTGTATTCACGGAGAAATGTTTTGCCACAGTATGATGGGATGGCTGACGATACGGTCGAGGGTAGAGAAGCTGCATCGATATCAAAAATGGTGGTTGACGATTTCAGGCCGAGATCGCGCCAAATGGTTTTGCCACAATATGATGGCCTGGCTGAAGAGCCGGAAGAGGCTATATCCACGGCAAAAACCAGGGCTGAGGATGTCGATGTGAGTCTTCGTGTCGGTGATACCACGGCTTTTACTTCATTATCAGATAATGCCCTAGGCAATTCTGAGGTCCAAGAGCAAAGTGCGACATTGAAAGTGGTTGAGGCAAATAGAGAAGAAAACCACCTGGACAATCTTCTCAGCCAGAACTACGAAGCAATTCAAGCCTATATTGATGACGGCGAGCATCCCCCAGAAGACATGGCATCCGAGCGAAAAGCTGTGCTAGACCAGAAAAAGGCACTAAAAGCTCTTGCGGATAACTCGCAAGATTCCCAGGATGACCATAAGTCAGAACGGCATGATGGTGGGGCAGAGCACAGAGGAGATCGAGAGATGATTCTAGATGGTGATGAGAGTATTTCGGATTTTCTTGGGGGTGAGACAGGGGATGAAGATATGGTTGAAATTGGGGAAAGCGCGATTACTCGGGAAAGTCATAAGGAGACTTCAGATTCGGAATCGATTGCTATCGAGACAGCATCAAAGCTCGATCCACTTGCAGATGTTGATACTTCTGCAGAGAACGAACGTGTGGAAGAGCAGACCAACAACAAAATCAGGTATTCTGTTTCGGGTGGCGAACAGTCTGTGGCGAAGAAAATTCACGACGATGCATCGAGCTTGACAGAATTTGTCACCGAGATGGAGGTTGAGGCAGTAGTCGATGAAGTTGCAAATGAGGTAAATGACGGACCCGAAAGAAATCATGGCAATGTTTCGATTTTGGCAACGGCTCATTCCTACATATTTGATGAGACTGAGGTCAACAGCAACACAGATAGTCATTCCGAAACCGACATTCACGCGGCTGAAATTAATACCAGCGGTTTTCTCAGTAATAAAGATCTGAGAGATCTTGAAGGAAAACCCAGCTCGATATCTACTCAAGATAAATTACCAGTTAAATTTACTTCCCAGGACGGATCTTCCGACGAGATCATAGCCGCCATGAAAGACAATACGGATGAAAGCACTTTAAATGACGCAGACATGGACAAAGTGCCAGCTCTTACTTATGCAGACACTCAAGATTCAAGCATCACCGATCATGGACCAGTGAATGAAAACAGCGTGGAAGATTTCGATTTACCTAGTCTCACTAGAGTAGAAGCAACAAGACAACCAGAAATTCCGGACAGCGATGCAGTCACAGAATCGAGTCAGCAATCTCCACAGAAACTCAGCCATATTGAGAGAACGCTTGGTAGTGCGATGAAGAATACGAAGAACGAGGAAATGCCAGTTGCAAGTGATGTGACTGGAGAAGACAACGAGGATAAAGACACCGAAGGCGTTGAAAGCTCATTTGGAAGAGAATGTGCTACAAGCTCCTTTGACCCAAAGAAACATCTCAATGAGCCAGAAGTGACGGGAGCCCAGAGTCTGCAGAATGGATCAGATGATCCCGAAGAAGATCAAGAATTGGTCGAGGTTGCAACCGCTGATTCTGCGGAGAAAGTGTTGCGAAATTCTAGAGCTGAAATCAAAGATAATATAGAAGTCGAGTCGCCTCCTACTAAATCTCTACCACAAAAGAAGACGAATAAGAGAGGTCGACCACCAGGAAGAAAAATATCAGGAATGGTCAACAATAAAGGTGACGACGAAGGACCTATTGAAAAGAAAGCAAAGCTTGTCGAAGCTGAATCAGAGACGCCGATGAGTCCAGATGCCAAGGACAGCTCAAATGCAAGCAGCTCTGTACCAGAGAAGCAAAAGCGAGACGGGCCATCTAGTGAGAAGATGTCTACAATATATATTAACAAGGGTGCCACAGAAGAAGGCAAAACAATTATGGATGCAGCAGATAGCTCCGAAGTCGCTTTCGTCGACAAAACAGACATGCTAAATAAGCAATCATCCGCCAATGAAACTCCGGCAGATGAGTTTTCTCCAACTACCCCTGCACCAGAGAAGAGGAAACGAGGCATGTCAGTTGAGAGAAAGATATCTACACTTTCTGTCGTTGCGGATGATGGTGGTGATATTGAGAAGGCTGAGAGTGAGGTCGCTCTGGTGGCTGATGGGAGCACTCAGTCATTCGTTGGTCCTGAATTGACAGACGAGCCCGCTGCAAGCTCTCCTATCCATCCCATGCCAGAGAAGAAGAGAAGAGGAAGACCGCCTGGTCGAAAGTCTTCAGGTTTGAGTCCTGAGAAGAAAGATGCTGATGAACCAAGTGAAGATCTCAATGACTCGAATGGCATTGTTGCAGCAATTCCTAGCAACAGTGTTGATGATGTTGCTGAGCCCGTTATTAACGACACTATGGATGAGCTGACCGCCAACTCATCTTCACCTGACAAACTTAAAAGGGCAAGACCAGCCGACCAGAAATTTTCTGGGTTAAGTCCCAAGAAAGGAGATACTGAGGAATTTACCAAGGGCTCGAGTAATGTTCCAGTGGTGATCCTCGAAGCTGTTAGGATGGAGGAGGCTACACCAAATCACATATCCACTGATGGCTTTGATACCGTCTCATCTTCATCGGTCAAGAGAAAGAGAGGAAGACCCCCAGGACGCAAATCTTCTCAAATCGAGCCCGAACAAGCAGAGGGTGGGGAATCACCGACTTCACCATTACCACAGACGAATATTGAGACTCGAGTGGCGATGACGAATAGGAAATCGAATGATGATTTGGGTGATAGCTCGCCTTTACAAACGAGAAAGAGAGGTAGACCCCCTGGCCGAAAGGTCTCTGAATTGACACCTCAAAAGACGGTCGTTGGTAAAATTGCAGAAGAAGTTACTAGTGGTATTGCGGCAGAAGAGGCTGTAAATGCTGCTATCAATGAATCTGTGACCAACATGGAACTAGCTGATGAGCCACCTGTCAATTCTCCCCTGGAGAAGAGAAAGAGGGGTAGACCTTCTCGCCAGGCTTCTGGCTTGAACACCGGAAGTGCTATTAAGGAGAGATTGCCGGATAGTGTTGATAGTGCTAGCAAGAATATTCCAACAGAGAATGTCGACTCCGATGAAGAGGGAGACGAGCTACAAAATGGGTCTCCGCCTGCCAAGAAGGTTAAACCAGAGCCAAAAAAGCGAGGTCGACCACCTGTGGCCAAAACATTGGATATCGGTGATGAAAACACCAAGGCTGATGAACAAGATTTGACCGGAGAAGAGAGCACTAGGGCCAAGGAAAACGAAAAGATGGAGGTCGATATGCAGACTCGTGTCGAACCACCTACACCCGAGAAAAGAAAGCGAGGCCGGCCTTCTGCAACCAAAGCTCGGCGTATAAGTAACAGCGACTCCGAGGTTACAGAGGAAGAGCAGCAAACATCTGAGAAAGTGGAGCTTTCTGGTGCTGAAAATGAGGAGCTTGTCGAGGTAGAAGCTGACGAGGAAGAAGAACCGGTCATTGAGAAGAAGAAAAGAGGAAGGCCAACCTTGCTCAAGAACAAAGGAAAACAAACCGCCAAAGCCTCTGAACGTGCAGATGACGAAGATATTACCATGAAAGATGCAGTCTCCACTATTGGTAGTTCTAAAGGCAAGGTTTCCGGAAGTCAAGTATCTATCTCATCAAACACCTCATCCTCTTCACAACGCCAAGATGCCTTCTTTGCCGAGATGAAAGCTATGAAAATTGTAAGTCTCCTTCTCTTCCATTCCCTTACCCTCTCACGCGCCACCCTCCTTTTCTTCAATCAAACAACTAACCTCCACCCAGTCATCTCTCCAAGCTCGCAACACCCAACTCCGCATCGAAATCACACAAAAACGCGAGAAAGTTGAGGAGATTACAGAAGAATTAGAAAAACCGGCAGATGAAACAGTCAAGAGACATATCAAGTTGCTGCATGATTATAATGACATCAAGGATGTGGGACAGGGCTTGGTGGGTATGATTGCGGATAATAGGGGGGTGAGGGTCGGGGAGTTGTATGAGGAGTTTGGAGTTGGCATTGCTGATTAAGCAGATGGTTATTGAGGGGAGAAACCTGTTGAAGAGGGAATTATTGACCATCACAGTATTATTCGGGGTTAGACTTGAAGATGAAAATGAAAGGGCTGGGTATGCTCTGGGATGGATGGATGGATGGTTGGGATGCATTTGATTTGATTTGATCTTATATTCTATGATACCATTTTGCTCACGATTTTGCTTAGATTTATTACTTCAAAATAAGAAGAGAAATCACTAAGAGGGATGATGGGATGTAGGTAGCAGAAGCTCAAGGATATACTCGCTTAAGATGCTAATGGATGGATGGATATCCTTCATCTGATATCTATAATATGATAGTAGCAAATTATTCATTATCACACTCACAAGGAAACAAATGACTGCATCCTGGTGTCACGAGACTGATACAATCTTTCTCGAGGCGGATATCCTCTACGCCGAATGAATTGAATACCGGACTCTATACATCCCGCGCAACGAATCATTTCACAATTTCAATCCCTCAAGTCAAGATGCCCGCCAAATGGGGCTATTGGACATGTCTTTACTGTGGTAGAGGGGAAGAAAACTATGCTCCTATCACCATCCACAGGCTAAACAGATAGGGCCTCCATAGACTTCAGTGCAGTCACTAATTATACGAAATCCGGGTGTATACAGGGAATGCACGAACATATTCAATCTAATGAAGTTATTTGTGGTACTCGTAATGGATAGGCTCAGAATATAATATCGTCCATCTTGCTATTTAATATAATGGGCTCTAAAGTTCAAATAGATTTTATATAAGATAAGGAAGTTTCATTCTATTCTTGGAGAAGGTTTAGATTGAACCTTGAGGAACGGGAGCGGGATGGCTAATCTACGGTATTTCGGTTAAGTCCCGGCACTTGACTTCTGCTGCCGCTTCATCGTATGTCAATAACTACAATACAATGAGATTAGAGATTTTCTCGATATAATCTGATATGTGTAGGACAAAAAATTAGCTAAGTATGAAGGAAATATTTGGTATGTACTGTGTATTGAACAGTAATGGTCCAGCACATTTTAGATTCAGTTCAGAGTGAATATGCAATTGTCCAACCCCGCATTCTTCAACTCGGGTTACTAGCTATTATAGCTATACAAAGTATCAACTCTCCCATTTAATATATGATCCAACAAGTATAAGTACATCGCCATTTATTCCATCAACTGCCCTTCAATACAACCCATCCAACCCTCCACAACCACAAAAATGACACCCACACCCCGCATCCTCCTCCTAGGCGGCCACGGCAAAGTGTCTCTCCTCCTAACCCCGAAAATCCTCTCTCGTTCCTGGGATCTCATCTCCATGGTGCGTAATGCCGATCACCGCACAGATATCCTGCATGCAGCAGCGCAGGCATCGAATTACGGAACAGGAGCAGGAGCAGGGACAGGAATAGGGAATCTCGAGATCTTGGTTGAGAGTATTGAGGATGTGAAGAGTGAGAGTGATGCGAAGGGGATTTTGGATAGGGTGAAGGCTGATTGGGTTATTTGGTGTGCGGGTGAGTTTTAAGTTTAAGTTTAAGTTCAAATTTAAGTTTGTGGGAGATGTTTATGGAATGATGGATTGGGGATTGAGGGATGGGATAGGATAGGATATATTGCTGATAATCATATTGCATACAGGAGCCGGTGGTAAAGGAGGAAAGGAACGCACATACGCCATCGATCAAAATGCCTGCATCCACTTCATACGAGCCTCACTCTCTTCCCCCTCAATCAGCAAATTTCTCCTCGTCTCCGCACTACTCTCGCGGCGCTCGCGCGCACCATGGTGGACCACCGACGATTGGACCTATATCCAGAAAGTCAATACGGAGATTCTCCCAGATTACTACAAGGCGAAATTAGCGGCAGATCAGGCATTAGTGGTGTTGAGCAGTGAGAGGAAAGATAAAGAATGGACGTGGATAGATTTGAGACCGGGGACATTGAGTGACGAGGAGGAAACGGGAAAGATTAGTTTGGGGAAGACGAGGGGGCAGGGGAAGGTTACGAGGGGCGATGTGGCGGAGGTGGTGGTGAGGTTGTTGGGGATGGAGGGGGTGAGGAGTGGGTATTTGGATTTGTTGAATGGGGAGGTGGAGGTGGGAGAGGCGGTCGAGAGGGTGGTGGCGGAGGAGGTGGATTGTAGAGATGGGGAGGAGTTTGAGGATTTAAAGGGGGGTGAGTTTTTGAAGCTATGAATTAGGTTGGGGGTATGGTGATGGGATTCGGCGCTGATTACAGTATTTTCCTTTCCTTTCGAGAGATCGGTTCGGGCATGAAGTGAAACTAACAAAGTCACAAAATGAGTGAGTTTGACAAAACATATCATATTTTCCATCCATTCTTCCAACCTCATATCGTCCCATGTTTTCAGATTAAAACATCAAAACATCTCAAGACTCAGACCTCAAATCCAAAGATATCAATCGAGGAGTCAAACCGTCCTTGATTAATCGGTTGCTGGTTGCTTCCTATTGGGCAAAACAAAAGCAGGAGCTGAAAACAAAATACATACAACAGTGGGGATTCGCTGGTGGTCACCCACCCAACTACTAATCCACCGATCTGAAGCTTGTGTATGGCAGAGCGGACGGGATGCCCAATTCTCTTCAGTCTATGGTCGTATGTGGAAGAATGTTCTTTAATTACAACTATAACCCTAATTGTCAAATCTCTCGCCCTCTGCCTCCCCTCCTAATTATCCAATCACCCACTCACCTCCTCAACTTACCTCCCTCTTCCCCTCCATAACCTCCCTCATAATCCGTACTCCCCTCTCCCCCTCCCCAATCTCATCATATCCCCAGATCGTCTCCGCAATCCTCCGTACTTCCTCTTCTATCTTCTGGATATCGTCGGAAATAATTGAATCTTCCATGTCCAGCATGTGGCCGTAGTAGTTGCAGGCGGATACGGCGGTTGTGGCGCGTGGTTGTCGGGTTTGAGTGTAGGCTGTGAAGAGGGCGCGGAGGTGGAGGGGGAGGGGAATGGGGATTGGGAGGGAGGGGGCTTGGGGTTGAGGGGAGGGGGAAAGGGTGGGAATTGTAGAAGGAGATGTGGGGGAAGGGGAAGGATGGGGAAGATGCGAGAGCAGTGTCGTGAGTATATATACGTCTTCGACTACATGATCATATGAAATTAGCTAGATGTTACATATACTTAGATCACAGTCCATCCATCCATCCATCCATCCATGCACCAACACAACACAACAAAGCAAAGCCTGAAGAACCGAGAAAAAGGGTATGCATAGTGAGGGAAACAAAGGAAAAGGAAAAGCATACTACCAAGACCAGCACCCTGACCAAAATGCGGAGCAGTGGTGTGGGCAGCATCGCCGATGAGGAGGATGGGAAGAGTGGGGTGGTGGAAGGTGGGAGCGGTGGGGTGGTAAAATGTTGCCCAGTAGGAGGGGCATTGGATGAGCTGGGGGAGGGTGTGTGTTAGGTATAAAGTTTTTGACTTTGGGAGGGAAAGAAGAGGAGAGGGTGTGGGATGTGTTTGGAGATTGAGAAAGGATTTTGTTTGGCATGGTATATTATTTGACTTTTGACATGGTGGATGGTGGAATGATGGGTGAAGAAGTAGAATAAGAGTGATTCATTTTAGCCGAACATTTTGATGGATATTTGAGAATAAGATATATGACAACACGAGTAAAACATCTAGTAAAGCAAAATTGAACAAGAAATACGAAGTAAAAGAAGCCGTGAGCACTCACCTTCATAATCTCCTCGACATCCCTCCCCCACCTCCCATCCAAATAATCCCTCCCCAACTCCTCCTCCACATTCTCTCTCACCCAATTCCCCTCCCAAACCCCCTCTTCCCTACTTGCAAAAGCTACTACATTCATACTCTTTCCTCCCTCAACCGGGAATGTAACCACATGCCCCCCATGTCCCAGATAAAACATTCTTTGTCTCGCTTTCGCCCCGATACTTTCCTTCGCTGCCGTCATTGGTATTAATCCTCTATAGGCTATTTTCCCCGTGAAACGCGCTTTTAGCGCTGCGGCATTGTTGGTGGGTGTAAGGACTAGATCGCGACATATGGATTTCACGCCATCGGCGCCAATCACTAGATCTGCGAAGGCGGTTGTGCCATCTTTGAATTGTAGCGTGACTTTGGAATCTTGGGAGTTACTAGAACAGGAAGAGGAAGTAATCCCCACCAAACGTTTTCCAAACCTCACATCGCAAGACGGAGGGAGAAGCTTGATCAGTATATCCATCAAGGATCTCCTGTGGGCAGTACTCTGACCCTCTCTCCCCTCTTTCATTCGTACTTGTGCTATTCTTCTCCCTTCCCACTCTTCCCCATTTTCATTCTTCTCTTGTGCACAACCAACTCGGTCACCTACCACAAAATCCCACCACACATCGTCATCACCCCAATTCGCAATAGCCTTATAATTTTCCCAGAAATTTGGATGCAGCAATTTCATGATTCGATGGCCACTGGCGCCAAATCCAATGCCGGCTCCGATTTCAGAGTAATTGTGGTGTGATTCGTAGATGGTGTAGCGGAGGTGGGATCGGGCGTGGGGAGGCAAGGCGGAGATAGACAGAGCGAAGGTGAGACCTGTTAAGCCCGCGCCGATTATAGCTATGTTAAGGGGTTCGATTTCTCCGGTAGCGGGTTGGGCTAAGCTGAAATGAGCCATGATTATGGTTTATATTAGGTTGGGGATGTGATTTGGAATGCGGATACTTGAGAAGTGAAAGCGTGGGTGGAAAATCCGAGGCTGTGAGAGATGTAATTATCGGTATTGTCGGTGGAAACTCGCTGATAAGGGGGGAAGTCAGGCTGGTGATGAGGCAGGTAAAACCAACACGAACTATCGGATTTGGATAATCAGTCAATACTGTAACAATTCAAAAGTTTTGCAACTCAGACACTGACTGAGATTAATGTTGCAAAGTCAAAAAGGGTAGCCGAATAGTATTATAGTCTCCGAGACGAAAAAACACACTAGAGATCCCGTTGCAACACAAGATCACAAATACGGGAGATTAGAACGCCCCCCAAAAGGTGTTTTTGAATACTTCGATGATAAGGTATGAAGAACGAATGAAAATATTTGAAAATATCTCCGAAGGTTGCATTGCATTAGGTGTCTTGGGTAACCTCGGAATTGATTATGAGACGCAGATCTGAAGTGATTCAGCAACTTCCGGAATGAAACCCATGTGTAGCATGAAAATCCCATAAATAATTGCGCTCGAATTTCGAATCAAGGACTCCTCGACCAGTGTTCCCCCGAAAGATGAAGCAAATGATACTCTAGTAGGATATGACTGCTGAGCCAGCCCGGTTATCATTAGATCCTGTGTAAAACCTCTCAAAAAAATGCAATTCCAAGAGTCCTTAAACATCTTCCACTCCACTAGATCACCTACCCTGTTGAGAGAAAAGATGATGAAACCAAAACAAATTTCAGTAACTAATAGGTATACCTAAATGCAGGGTGGCTATCACCAAGTTTGTCGACTTCTCTTCCCTCTAGTCGATAATCTCTTTTTCCAGCTGCTCTCGACCTATTTTCTATCCACAGGAAAAACGTGTAGATCGAAATGAGCCCTGCAGCACAAGACGTCATAGCTATAGTGGTTGTGTATCCCAATACAAAAAGGGGTGCCTCTGTACTTGCAAAACAAAGTGTTGAAGCTATACCACCCAGATTCCCAATACTGACTTGAATTGCTATCGCAATCCCCATCTTATGCGACCCAGCAATATTATTTGTTAATATCGTCCACAACACTGGGAGAGCAACGTACATTCCACAAGCCAGGAGATAGACGGCTCCATACCTGGTATGTGCGCTGATATGTTCCTGGTTGAGCAGGATAATACTACCCGATATAACCATTCCATATCCAAGAAGGGCGAATGCAGTTCGATGTTTGAAATAATCCGATAAGAACGAGGAAATTAGGGCAGATGCTGCTGCTGCCACAAAAACGGGAATGCACAGAACTTGCACATGACGGGGGTCCTGATGGAGGGCCATGCCAGATATGATTGTGGGTGTAAAGATAGCAACGCTGTAGAGAGTAATTGTTGTACATCCGAGAATGAGACCACTATTTTCGGTTAGCTTGTACTGGACCGAGGTATCGATATATGTACCTGACATATATCTTCCAGTCTTTGAGAATACTGATAAGCCTGTGGCGGTCGAGCTTTTCATCTGTCGGTGCAATAATCCCTTCTTTCCTGATGATATCGGCGAGTAAAGCCTTTTCATCTTCTGACAACCAGTTTGCCTGGTGCGGCCAGTTCGGAATAAAAGGATAAACTAGAACTGCCACTGCAGCAGTGATACATCCTTCGACGATGAAAATCCATCTCCATCCGTGAAAGCCATTGTCACTTTTGATGCCAGCAAGAGCGAAGGCAAGTAATCCAGCAACTGCGGTACCAAGAGCATTACCAACCATTAACATGCCTAATCTCCATTGAATTTCATAACGGGGGTAATATTGACCCAAAATGTAGACACTTGCTATAATTATGTCAGTATGTGAACATCTCTCCTCGACTGATGACAATACCTGGTATAAGTCCTGCTTCAAATAGACCCACGAAGAAACGCATGGCATTGAATCCTGCAACATTTGTGACGAGTCCTTCGCCAATACCCGTGATGCCTTATGGAATGTTAGCTTTAGGTAGCCAAGAGTCCCAAGACACATTTCTAAGGGTCCCACAAACCTAGAAGGAAAATCTCGCCAGCAAGAACGATCTGTGGAGAACTCATCTTGAGTAGTGCATTACATGGAATCTCAACAGCAATAAAAACTATGACGACGATGAGAAGAGCTATGTTGAAGTCATTCCCTTGCATGTGAAGATCCTTTTGAATTCCGAAGATGTTGGCACTTCCAATATTACCACGATCTAGGAGCGCCACTAGCCAAAGAGCAAACAAGGCTGGCAAAACATGAAGATCAATCTTCCAGATAAATTTTCGATATTCTTTGGGAGAAAGTGGAGTGGGAGTTGATGGCTTAGGAGGGGTTGAATCAGAACCTTCCCTGTCCATATCGCCCCCATTGTTGATGTCAAGTTCTTTCTCCATTGCCATTCGTTTTCAGTATGTTGTGAAAAGTTGATGGATGCTTGCTGGAAATTTACAATTGAAATCAAGGAACAAAGTGGAAATTGGATAAAGTAAAGTTGGTGGGTTAGACTGGGTTAAGAGACTGGAGATTGCAATATCAAAAAGTAATCTAGGGAACTCGGTTAACCTGTTACCTACCGGAGGTTCTGAGTGAATAAAGCTCCTTTTTGAGATGGAAGCCATTGAATCCAGCCAGCCACTCGAACTATTCATAATGTCGATCCGAAGCCCGTCAAATTCCCATCTAGGAGCTTTGTGTGACATAAAACAATCGAGCCAAGAGTTTGCTCCATTATACTCAAAGACTTCTTCTGCATCTCATATCTATTTTGAGATTCTATTTCGAGTGTAATGAGAAATATTGTTTCCATGATGCTGCATGCCTTCACTCGAAGGAAACCTTTGAGATATTTGCATGGAATGAATTTCACCACCACTGAGCCTCATGGGAAGAAACATTTGTGTACCAGCATGTGGTTGTGTGGTTCATTACTCACTATAAGCAATGCTGTGTCCGACACTTAGAGTAATTACTTTGAACAGAAATCACTGGTATGGTATGTTAGTGAGTGACATGACATGGCTGCCGTCTCACTCGACTCCAATATCCGTAGAGCTTTTATATTAGGACAATATCCTGCCGAGCGTACTTTTTATTTTTTTTGTATTAAGTTTCAGAAAATGAGACTCTGGAATGGTGATTGTCTCTGTAGGTAGCGTTTCGCAAAGCTAACCTAATAAGACTTAGTTTGACGCTAGCCATTCCTACAACTTTTGCTCTGCCATCGTAACTGGAGTTTATCTGACCGCAAGACTTAGCAAGTAACCAGACGGAAAGAAATCACGGAACCCCGCGTAGAACAATCATCCCGAGTTTGCTCTTCATCATACGAGTAATTCAGGATTAGAATACCTATATTCAATCACGGTATCATCATATCAAGCTACAATTAGTACGCTGGTCCCGAGGCTCGAGTGAGAAGTTTTCACACTCTACCAGGCTCATCAGTGAGCTGATCTTCCTTGCAGCTAGCTGTACACCATCAGATGTCGTGTTGCCTCGATCTTGTCACACCAGAGTCTAACTGGGTTTTTGCAAAGATGGGTGATACAAGCAAGTTCGCCTCCACTCGCCATATGATATCTTTCTATGGAATGTATGGAATGGGAGAGTCGAGTTGCGTAGATTAACGGTATTAGTATGATCGCCCGATAAATCGTATTGACTGGGATGTTCACTATTGTCTGTCTCTCTCAACACTTTCTTTCAAGCATAACTCTTGTGAGGAATAACCAGGGGATGCTTTCGTGGGTCAATTATCAGTGCATCATTGTTATTTTGTTGAGTACCGAAGAATGATCTCGAAGCTACGGTTCATACTTCGAATCTTCCACAAGAACATGAGGCGAATATCTCTGCAGCGCGAGGGAAACAAGTCACGATGGCTTCAAAAGACGATTGTGTAGCCACCAGAAGTACAATGAGCTACGCTCTCAGGGAGTCCAAAAGGTCATGAAGTATTATCTTGTACCTACTCGTGCAAATCTAGCTTGGAACTTTTCATTCAAAGTCTGTTTCTACCTCGTTATTTCATTTCTCTCCAAGATGGTCTGCAATATTTATACATCTCAGAATTCTTGACCAAAATGCAGGCCAATGCTTTGTCCGAACTCTCGAACTCTAGCCTAGCTTGGCTGGCTACTACCATACCGCTGTTGTTTATCGCCGTCATTGCTGTCACATCCCGCGTTGCATCGCAACATGGGAACTTGAAGAAAGTGGATGCAGGGTTTTTGATTGCTCTTGTGAGTATTTAGAATCCTGGGTATTCGAATATGCATACCACATTAATTGATTGACATTACATATCCAGGGCTTTGTAATCGCCCAAGAAATCGTGGGCTGTGTTGGTTCGTATATCCATCGAGCAGAAGCATTTATCTATTCTAAATAACACGTTGATCAGGTATTTTAATATGGGGACTTGACAATAATGCCGCCATTCTCAGTCCTGAAAAGGCACAAAACACTACGATGGTAGGAAATATACTCAGCACCAGTTATTTTTCTAGCTTTTGCTCCATTACTACTATGAATACTAAAAAGTTAAACAGTGTCTCTACATCTCCCAAATCTTCTACCAAACCACCATCGCCACAAACAAGATATCTCTACTATTCTTCTATCTTGATATCCTCTCCACCCCCAGTCTTCGATCCATCTACCACATCGCCAGTAAATCAGTATTCTTGTCCATAATCGCCTTCGATACAGCGACAATCTTCCAATGCACACCAATTCCATACATTTGGAATCGCACTAGTGCAAACGGCTACTGTGTAAATATTTCCGCCCTCTCAATAACTCACGCCGCCACAAATACATTCTTCTACCTCCTCCTATTCAGCCTATCCCTCCCTATCATTCACCCGCTACAACTAAGCACTAGTCAAAGATATGCACTAGCATGCGCCTATCTCCTTGGATGCCTGTAAGTTCCAATTCTGGCTCCAGCCCCATTTTCCCTACAATAATACCCATTCCCATTCACGAATCAAATCAAATCAACTAACCCATACATGCAGCGTCCTCACAACCAGCATCCTAAACCTAACCGCCCTCATCCCACCAGCCCCCCAAAAAGCCCCCAACACCCAAATCCTCCTCACTTACTCCCTCGAATCTCTCCTCGGTCTCCTCCTCCTCTCCCTACTTACCATACACACCCAAATCACGCACCTCTTCACCACCCTCTCCAACCTCCTCTCCTCCCTCCCCTCCCTCCCCCCTCTCCCTCACCTCACCAACTCCATCCCCATCCCCCTCACCACCCCCCAACCCCCCGTAGCCCTAACCCGTTTCCCCCCCACCTCCGCATGGAAAACCCTCAAATCCCACTCCTCATTCATATCGCGGTCTTCCAAATACTCTTCCCAATATTCCCACTCGCAAAACTCGCATAACTCGCACCATTCCAATTTGACGAGTGGAGTTGCGAGAGCGGGTGTGGATGTGGATGATGAGATGATGGTTTATGTGACGGTATTGGGGGAGCCGATGGAAAATATACTATAAATGTATGTGATGGTGACAATGTGTGAGGGAGGAAGGGAATGGAATCTGAAATCAGAATCGAAATCTTGTACGTTTAGTATGGGAGAGGAAGAGAAAAAGGGAATGGAGTTGGATAATTACATGATGGAAGGGAAATCATTTGCTCAACATATGATACACACCATGTAAAGGATTGGAGTTTTTCGGAGCAGAATATGTAGGCATTGTTTGCTGTACTCTATATCAATTATTTTCGCTACGCTCTGAAGCGTTTCCAGCCAAGTCAAGTCGATGTTCCAATGTTTCCACCATATGTATAACCAAAATTGTGTATCTGTTAAAGACTAACCATCGTATTGACTCCATTCACCCATACACACACCTCCAAAATGTATGCATCAAAGATTCCAGATCCTATCACAATCCCACCATTATATCCTTTTGAACCCCTAGCCCAAGGCCCCCCTACATCATAGTAATCTTTGGAAATAACCTCGGACCAGCAAATCCCTTCGTAGCCACACTCTGTATATCAATATTTCCATCCGACCTCCCATCTGGGCTCCAAAGCTTCAACAGAATATACTTTCCACTAATAGGCGTACTGAATTTAATCGTGCACTTACTTTTATCCCTTTCAATGAAGAATTTCGCATGAGGAACCATGAGTTCGCCACCTACGGCTCGAACTGCTTCTTGCGTTGCAATTTGTGACGCCTCCGCAGCTTCGGCTAGTGTGATATTACTAGCAGTTTCGCGTCGACGTAATCTTGGTGGTAAAGATGTAGGATCATAGTGATAGTTGCCCCTGTCGGAAAGTCTGTATGGTGTTGTAAAGTCTTCTTCGTCGCTGCTTTCGCCATCGAGACGGAGATCATCATCTGGAATATCAGCCAATCTCATCCTATAAGCTCGACTGTTTTCTCGAGACTGATCCTCATTATCGGAATAGTCACTATCACATTCCATGGTAACTTGGTAGGGTGACGTAATGTTGGTAAAGTCGGACGGAATCTGGGCAGTGGGCGGAGTATAGGGAGCGTTCAAATCGCAATCTGGATCTTGAGCGCCCAATGCAACAAGACGGCCAGCACGCGCTTGAGCTGTTGTCATACTGCTAGTACCATCATGATTATGGCGGATGGACATTATTGGTGGCCGCTCCGAATTACGGGATGGTGCGGAGTATTGAATTTGATACTGTGCAGTACGAGTTAAGAGGCCATTTAGTGTTCCGGAAATAAATACCATTCCTTCCTGGACTCTGAAATCAATTAGTATTGCTCGGTACCAAAAAGAGGATCAAGATACTAACGGAGCTGTGTATCCTTTATGGGGTGCTTTGATAACCATTTCCGTAAGAGAGAATGTGGTCTCGCCTTGATGCTTCAAGATCATATTGCAACGATTACTTTTAGTGCAGTAGACTGTATTATCGTCTTTCAGAACATTTTCTGACCCGTATTCTGCCTCCGGACAATTTTGAAATAAGCCCCCGTCACAACTAACGATTTCCATTTGCAGAGTGCCAGGTTCGATCTGGCCATATCTTCCATACTTGAAATTCTGCCAGGATTCCTTTTTACTATCTTGATCCAGCTTTCTTCTCTTGACCCTACGGTTATGCTCTCCCTCAGCGACATATTCGGGCGACGATACCCTGGAAGGGGGAGAGGGGAGGGGAGTTTCTAACAGAGCTCGGAGGTTCGTGCTTGCGACTTCTAGTTGTCTTATATCTGCGAGTCCTGAGCTTAAAGTACCACCTTCAGTCAACGCTCTCAGTGGTTCCATATATCGATCGGACTGTAAAAGGCGAGGTCTTCGGCGACCCGGTGATGCCTGAGCAGGTCTGGCTGCATCTCGTCGTCTGGCTTGAGCTAGTAGTTCGGCTCGTCGCGCGCTTGTCGCAACAACAAGTTCCCTTTCAGTTTCCTCAGTAAGAGTCTCGAATGGAGGATACATCATGGATTGTCTCGATGTGCGTCTTCTTACTGACCTGTGCTGTCTCTCGGCCCTGCGTTCCGATGAGGACATATTTCTAACAGTTTCCGGACTATGATGGAATGGGCTTTGTTGTGCTGCTCGTCTTGTCTGGGAATATCGAACTATGGCTCTATAGAGTTCACCAGATGGGCTTATTTGAACATTCGACCCAGGGTCGTGTTGTAAGATGTCCTGCACAAATCTTTCGGCGGTTTCGATGGGAGAATCTGAAGGTGGGTGGCTCGGCGGATCATCAAAGTTTCCAGACTTTAGCAAATAGTTAGTGGGATCATTCATATATCGATTGCGAGGAATGTGTAATCACTATTGGATAGAGTCGTCTGGACATAGAAGATTGGATTGAAACCCGTAGGCTGCAAAGAGTGGTCACGGAGAATGCCTTGTGAACCTTCCGGATGTGATAGATAAAGTTGTATGTGGGAAGCTTTTATTCGTGCGAGATGCTTCTTTAGTAAAATTCTTTGTGAATAGCTGACTTTGAGTGTTCGAATGTTTCGAGTGAGTAGGTAGGTATCCAATGTTTGTCGATTGGTGGTGGATTTGTATACGTAGTAGAAGAAGATGTGGTTTGTTGAAGTCGGGGTCGGGTAGACAAAAGGGTGGTGGGCGGTGGTCGGTCGAGAATTCCGATGGGGCTTTGTGGGGTTCAGTGATACCTAATTAGAGATTAGATTGATACTCGAGTTGTTCTAAGATCATTGGACAAAGAACTGCAGAACTGCTCATCCGAATGATCTAAGCTGAGCTATCGAGCTATTGCAAAGTTTCGACACAAACAAGAGTTATTATGTGACATATCAAACATTTAAGAGGATTTATCAAATCCTCTACTAGTTATATTCAAAAGCACAAGGCATGATTTCAGCCTTGCATTTACGGAAAAGAAGCTAAGATAGCGAAGATTAAGCTTTACCTTATCCAAAAGCCCCGCAAGCCTAGAAGCAAACCATTCGAGCCGAATAACTTCAACCTTTCTAGAACTCACATTTCACATTTCACAACCAATAAACACTTCTGTCACTTATACAACCGGTCAGTATGAATTTATATTCAATGGGCGTACCAAATCCCAACGTGGTACCTATCATAACTCCAGCTGGTATCAGTGCTGGTAAGTCAAATGCCCTTCTTCAATAACAAATCCTAATGTAACAACGAGCGAAGAGAAGCAAGCTAACATACAATTCTGATCTAAAGATGAAATTGCCCTATATGATCGTCAAATTCGTCTCTGGGGTGTTCAAGCCCAAGAAAAGATTCGAAATGCCAACGTCCTCCTCATAACCATGAAAGCGCTCGCAAACGAAATAGCCAAAAACCTCGTCCTCGCCGGCATCCACTCCCTCACCATTGTCGACCATGCTCTCGTCACCGACGCCGATCTGGGCGCTCAATTTTTCGTATCCGATTCTGATATTGAGACGAATCGCGCCCAGGCCGCTGCACCGCAGATTAGGAAGCTGAATCCGAGAGTTAATGTCATTGTGGATATGGATGACATCAGGAGCAAAGGTCCGCACTATTTCAGCGCGTTTGATATTGTGATTGCGACGGATTTGGATCCGGTGTCGTTGAACATCATTAATACAGCTACGAGAATTAATCATAAGCCTTTCTATGCGGCGGGCGTTCATGGATTTTATGGTTTCATATTCTCGGATTTGATCCAGCATGACTATGTGGTGGAAAGAGAACGAAGCAACAGGCCTACCCTTCTACAACCAGAAACACGCACACGATGTGTAGTAGATGTGAAGACGAAGAAGGAAAATGGAAAATCTATGGAGGTTGTCACAAAGAGAGAGTTTTATTCGACTTGGTTGCTGGCTAGCGATGCAGCTACTCTGCCTGCAGAATATTTGAGAAGCAGACGTCGATTGAAGGCAGTTACTCCAGTTCTATCATGTCTACGAGCTTTATGGGAGTTTGTTGAGCTTCAAAATGGTCGTTTACCTTCAACCAAAGAAGATCTACAACTATTCACCACCCTAGCGCATAAGAAGCATACAGCTCTAGGCCTTCCCGTTGAAACTTTACGTTCAGAAATACTTCGAAGTTTCCTTCAAAATCTAGGCAGCGAGATAGCTCCTGTCACTGCGGTCCTGGGCGGTCAGCTGGCGCAAGATGTAATCAATGTTCTTGGTCACCGACAGCAACCAATCCAAAATATGGTGTTGTTCGATGGAGATACAATGGAAGCACCAATGTACGCTCTACATCCCGAAGGCACTCTGGGTGAAGGTTTGCTGGAGTCGGGTGGAGACATGCTCATGAACGGCCAAGTGGTGGCGCAACAGACATCATTTCCACTAGATGTAATCGAGCTTTAGATTTCCGGAAGATGGGTAAAGGTTAGTGGAATTTAGGATTGACGGAAATGGCGTTATATCGTAAGGAGTTTAAGGACGGATGTACAAAATAGATGATATTTCATAGTGTGGCTAATAGCCAACTCAACTTAGTGAATTGCATATTTCGCCGATCGATCAGGAGAGCAATAACTTATCAGAAACATCTTAGTTGTCGATTGAGTAACTTTTTCCTTTTTGGTTGCCGGTGCCATTTCATCTCGTCTCGGTCCAATTTTCGGTTGTGGGCTCATCGTCGTCTTCTACCTCGTGAGGGGCTTCAAGTCCATTCTCCTCATTTCCCTCATCTTCTGATCCATTATTGCCCCCCTCATCTTTCTCAGCCATCTCATCCTCAAAATCTTCAAAATCTCCTCCCTCATCGTCCTCTTCTCCCTCATCCTCTTCTCCCCCCTCATCCTCACCACTCTCATCATCACTATCCCCCCTCTTCCTCTTTCCATTCCCAGGTCCAGGCGCAGCTCCCTCCCCTTTCCTCACAAAAACATAACTTCTCGAAGCCCTATTCTCCCCCTTCCATCCACCACCCCCTTTCACCACTCCCAATGTCCTCGCATGTTTATACCCCGGATATGCGCTCGCTTGGAATCTGAAACTCCTTTCCACTTCCAATCCCGCATGGCGACCCAGATCCCGAATATTCCAGAGGGTGTAGGGCTCGCCTTCGAATATGGTGACGATTATTGAGGAACCTTTGCGCGATGAGAGAGAAGGGATGGAATTGCGGAGGAAAGCGACGAGGAGTTCTAATTCAGTCTCATGTTAGCGCTTTCATCTTAAAATGCAAGAAATTAGCAAGATGAGAGGAGAGGGATAAGCCATACCTTGGTTGTACCTAACCTGTCGATTTATATCCGTACTCTTCCCACCCACATGCGGAAAGTTAAAGATCACTCTATCCATCGATCCGTCCCCCTTCCCTCTCTTCGCCGTCGTCCAAGGCTTCATCTTCATAGCATCAACACCGTATTTCACCACTGCTCCTGCTTCCTCAATCACCTTGATATTCTCTTCCGCTTGCGGATATTTCTCGAGTAGAACGGGTAAGGCATTCTCATAAACCGTTGCGGTCAATTTGTGCACATGGTGGTGAGTAATTAAAGAACTCGCGAATGAGAGATCGCCATCACCGATCAAAAGGATGGAATCGCTGGAGGAAAGGGGGATTATGGGGCTGCTGTATTGGGCGGATTTATGAGGTTTCAAGGGTGTAATCGAGGATGAATTGGGTGTCGACTTTTTGGCAGCAGAGCTGGGTTTGGTGGTTCCGGTTGATTGGGGTGCTTTAGGTTTCCCGGGTCCTCCTTTAACTTTCTTGGATAAGGACTTGAGTCTTTTGTTTTTACCCATTGTTGCTGCGAAATTGGAATTGCTATGCCGAGGAAAGAAAGTTCATTTGGGTCGAGAATTATATCATACAGAATCGGCCGCGATGGATAATTGCGGCCGCATAATGCGCAAGGCGCGCAGCCCCCACTTGGTTTGAATGCCCCCCGGTAGTGCGTGAGCTCCTGGTGAGCTCCCGGTGAGCTAAATCTTCATCTTACTCCCGGTGAGCAACCTCGGAAAAGATATTCCTGACAGTTTCCGGATGAAGTACGATACGAATTTAATCGTTCCAAACTTTCTGCTCCTCTTCCCACAGACATAAATATTTAACCTCATATTATACTCTACAGTTCATCGTTTAATCCATGGACTTTCTTTCAACCTTGGCCATCTTCCTCAAATACTCCTTCTTTCGGCTAACACTTACAAGCAACATAGGAGCAAAAGTGGTGCAAATCATGGTTCCCCATATTCCTCACTAATTGCAAATGGACATTTCCTCAGCTTTGCATCTACTTTGTCTTCGATTCGAAACTTTCTCCACGCAAAATCAGACAGATAGTTATTGGCATATGTAGTAGTGAAGATTTCACGGCTAACGGACCTCACCAACATGACTCGATTTTGGATTTTGACGCATCTTGTCTTCCGTTTTCAGGAATCTTAAGTACGTACCAGTATTTATATACTTCGTCCGCCCCAAAAAGATAGTCTTGGAGAACCCTTTCAAAGGCACAGTTAACAACAAAAACATCTCATACCATTCAGATAGCGCACCTAACTGCTAATATCCAAGAGCACACCTGCAGAGTTGATAAAACATCTTGCTTTAAACAGTCTTCCTACTCCATCCTTGAGCGTTTCATGTCCACTCAGACTTCTCCTGCTATCTGAAATCCATGCTTCTAGAAAAGCTGTTCTCGGGGTTTCTGTGAACTCATGGCTCTTATGCTTGGACCTGTGAAATTTTTCATCCCTCTTGTCTGAGCTCCCATATCTTCCCTTTGAAAGCCAATACCGATACTTTCCATTCACAACATAACTCTTGTTCAAGTGTCACGGTTTGAAATGTAAGCAGAAATGATACGGACCATAAAGGCTCGTTTTACAGGTTTAAAAATCTAGAAGTAAAGTAAAAGTTGAGGTGTGTAGAAAATTGTTGTTATTCAGTTCTACAGACTCGATCAATAGTATACAAAATACGTGACATGTTCACTCCATACTCTTCACAACATCCGCAACCTCAAACTTAGCATCTGTCTTCTGTCGCACCTCCTCAACCTCCACACCCGGCGCTAATTCCGTCAATGTGAGCCCACCATTCACTCTATCGACTTCAAATACACACTAGAGGGACAAAAATTAGCTTCATGACTCACTGCTTGAACCCCGAACATCGCGAAAGTAAAAATAGATGAAACTTACCAAATCAGTAATAATCGTGCTAACAACCTTCGCTCCCGTCAGCGGTAAACTACAATCTTGCACGATCTTTGCGCTTCCATCTTTAGCCACATGTTCGGTTGCGACGACGATTTTGGTTTCGTCGGGGTTGGAGACGAGATCCATTGCTCCGCCCATTCCTTTGAAGATCTGTAGTTTTTTTGTAAGTTCGCTGCTGGATGGAAGGAGTAGAGGGGAAATCGCTTACCTTGCCGGGAATCATGTAATTTGCCAAATCTCCATTGGCGCCTACTTGGAGTGCTCCGAGAACCGATACATCGATATGGCCACCGCGGATCATGGCAAATGACTCGGCGCTGTCGAAGGTGGATGCTCCGGGTACGAGTGTGACGGTTTCTTTACCGGCGTTGATGATATCACTAGATGGTATCAGCTTACGCCAACTCATTGAGGAGAAATTTCTTACGGGTCAACCTCTTCTTCTGTTGGATATGCTCCCATGCCCAAGATTCCATTCTCGGATTGAATCCAAACATTGGTCTCGGGAGATAAGAAAGAAGGTGCAAGAGTTGGTAGACCTATTGCTCGTTAGCTGTCCCAGATTTTCTCTCTACGAAACTATCGGGAAGGAAACTTACCAACACCAAGGTTGACATAATAACCATTTTTGAGTTCCTTTGCTGTTCTCCTCGCAATTCTATCTCTTCTAATGCTTGCCGCCGATTTCTTCGATATATCTTCTTTCTGGCCGTCTGGCGCACGCGTTTTCTTCATCTCTAGTTTCTTAGCTACGGTCGCTGGAACAATCCGATCAATGTAGATTCCTTGGAGATGAACATTCGCTGGATCTATCGAGCCCACCGGGACGATATTTTCAGCCTCGACAATAGCGACCTTTGCCGCTTTGGCCATGAGGGGTCCGAATGTTCTGGTGGTGTATCTACCATATATTAATATCTGCTCATCCCTTTGTGTGTATCGAATAACTTACCGGAATTGACAGTTTCCTGCTTCATCGACTTTCCATGCTCTCAAGATTGCAACATCTCCTTTGATGGCTTTCTCCATGGAATAGGTCTTGCCGTCAAATTCTCTGGTTTCTCGAACTTGTCCTTTTTCTAAGACGGTGTTCTCTTTTGATCCTTCTGCTGGAGGACCCAATCTAGTAGGAATACCTCCAGTCTGTAATAACGTACCTTTTACACCCGTTAATATACACCCCGAGCAGAAAAATAACAGAATGTCTACTTACTAACACCAGTAGGCGTATAAAATGCCGGAATTCCAGCACCACCGGCCCTCAATCTCTCCGCAATGGTCCCCTGTGGACATAACTCAATAGCAATCTTTCCCTCTAGATATTTCTTCTCCAGAACCTTATTACTCCCGATAAAACTCAAGATCAATCGATCTACTTGTCCCGATTGCGTCAATGCACCTAGTCCTCCTGGAATCGATGCACCGGCATTATTCGAAACAGCCGTTAAAGAATGAAGATTCTCGACTCCTCTCCTCTCCAATGCTTCAATGATTGTTTCTGAAATCCCATCAACACCACATCCTCAAATCCCCCATACCCAGAAACCATGCCAAAGAAAGAAAACATACCAGCCGTGCCACACAACCCAAACCCCGCACTCAAAATCGTCGACCCGCTCTTAATATCCGCAACCGCCTCATCAGCATTCTTATAAACCTTACTCGCACCTCTCACTATCGTCGGGGCTTTGCTGTCGCTCTCCTCATCCTTGTATGGATTTCGAGGAGCCTCGAGGAGTCGCCGATAGCTTTGAAAGTGTCGGATATCTCGTGATCGAGCGAGTGGTTTGGGACTCCACTCACAGCGTATCGATGACGTTACGCGGAGACCCGGGAGGCGGGTGGTGGTGAGGATGCGGCGGGACAGAGACATATTTACAGAGTAATGGAGGATTGAGGGAAAGCAAAAAAGAGAAATTGAGGTGTGGAAAGAGAGTTTATGTATGGGTTTGAGGTTGCCGTTTCCGCAGTGGTGGCAGTGGTTGTCGGCAACTGAATTGAAGCCGGGGAGTTAAGCGTCGGCTATGTTTCTGGCTCCGATGAAGGGGGGGAAGTTATTGATGATTGCTCAACACAAAAGACAGGAATAGTTCGCGTAGACTACGGAGTATATATGGTAAGGGTATTGGGAACAATATAATATATTATGATATTTTGTCCTCAAACCAGTGGTACAGAAACTGTCGGGTAAACCAAAGCCGGCCTGAAAACATCGGATAATGTCTTTTCCACCTTCCTATTATCTTTCAAACATAAGGTTACCAATTCTCGCTCCCGATTCCTCATTGCCCCTGAATTGAATTTTCGCTTCGGGGGATTGTCAGAAGCAAAGAGAAATGTATCACGTTTGGAATTTCTCAAGTTCAGCAGATCTGGACCCCAAAAAGATAATCAATCCTCACACTTCAAGATTCCACAAGTCACCCATAATCCCCGAGATCCAGACTGGACAGTGGACAACTCGAAAGATTTTGGCCACAATCTCGAAAGTTTGAAATTGTGTTTGATGTGGGAGATAGGTTCGAATCTAATCTAGATCAGAAGAAGGGATCTAACTTTCAATCAAAGGCCATTGTTTTGATACGAAATATTTCACTGTCAGGAGCACTTAGATCTATTTATTCTGCTCGAGTATTCAATCTTGCTATTTCGTATACGGTACATTTTACTATAAATTCGTTCATTTCGTCATAATCGTCTCATCGTCCCATCGTCTCATCATCTCATCGCCCATGAATCAATCCATCGTCGTCGTCATCGTAAATTCGTGAAACAATGCGACGAAAAAAGCAGAACTCCTTTTCTTTTGCCATACCATGCATGTATGACCTATTCAATGAATGAACGAGTATCGCCAAACTCTAAATATATGCTTTTCGTCCGGCGACCACAACCGCAACCGCAACCCCAATCACTCACTCCGTTTTCTTTCCCACCAACTTCTCTGCAATTCCATGTACATGCCCATGCCCCCCATTCGCCGTCGGAGGATGTTTCTTATCCCACGTACTCGCCTTACTCATAGTCCTCTTCCTCATCGTCGCCATAATCTCCTTCTCCATATCATCACTTCCCCTCTCCAAATCAATATCCTCCAAGCTATACCTCCTCTCCCTCTTCTTCTCCCATACATACCACCACCCCACAATAATCATCGTGCATGGAATTGTCACCGCCCAATACAACCAGAAACTCTTGCTTACAGCGGGTGTACCATCGTTTTGAAAATTGAAGAAAGTCATGGAGAATACCGAGGCGAGATAGACGCCGGGGAAAAAGATGGCGCTGAGAAGAGAAATAGTTTTCATGGTGCTGGAGTCACGTTTTGCGGCGTGCGCGAGCTGTCGTTGTTCTTTGGCCATTTGGAAATTGAGTTTGGATTCTTTTTGTGCGATGATGTTGTATAGCTGATTTTTTTTGGTTAGCTTTGCTGGTATGAGGGAAATGGGACTACGAACAGCACTTCTCTGGATATCCAACCTCTGTAACGTTGTAAATGCGTAACTCTCGATTGCCTGAAGTTTTACCCGATAGAAATCAAACCTTGCCAACATACTCGCCTGTAAAGCTCTCATCGTTTCGTCTTTCCTCTCCTCCGGTAGTCTTTCATCAAGCATTTTCATCGCCTTCTCAAGCTGTTGCAAAATCTGCAGATAAGCTTTCGGTCTCTTCCACAGTACTTGAGAATGGCATTCAACCAGATCTCTATTGATAGCATCGAGATCTATAACTCCCTCTCTCACATATCCTTCTTTCTCTTCAATTTCTGAACGCATCGATACAGCATGCTCTAATCTTCGTAACCAATCACGTGCATCCCGTTGCTTGAGATCGGTCTTGAATGATATGTCGTGGGAAAATATGATAGCTGGTAAGAGCATCGGATGTCCGATTTGAAGGATACATGCTTTGAGATGTTGGATGGATTCTACCATGTCAGAGCTTTCTGTGCCTTTGGCATATCCAGTAGTGATCGCATGATTAACATCATGGGAGAGAGTAAGTTCCCAACCACGAGTCAAACCCTTTTTCCGGACATCACTTTTGCGGTTCACGATTTCTAGTGATAAGTTAGTTGAGGTATGGAGAAGAGTATGATCGAGACTTGCGTAAATGTGGATTCGTTTCATCCTGGTCATAAGCAGCCCAGAAGATTGGACCGACGGCACTTCCGGACTCAATGGATCTATAGGGCAAATTCATAGTCTTCACCATGGAGATATATGCGGCAGAAGAGAAACTGAGAACATTTGGGGCGAAGGTATCAGGATGCTTGGCATTTAATTGAAGACTGTGAGGATGTCAGCATCTGTTGAAAAGGCCTGTCTGTATATGAAGTACTAACATCAATCGAATGCAAGCTAACTGAATCACTCCCTCTGGTATTTTTGGAGGAGCAAAGACACCCTAAAGAAGGATGAGCGTTAGCACGAAGTCCCATGACATTGGGGGGCACTTTATCTCACCCTTCGGTTGAGGAAGTTCTCGAATTCATCGGGTGTCAGGGGATGCTCTTCTATCGAATTCAGAGAAGGATCCTGAAATTCAAATCAGCACTCGACGTTCCTGCTATCAACGATTGATCTCTTACCGAATAGGATACCATCTCTAGGTACGTAGTATTCTCATAAACATTTCTGCAACGAGCGACATTTGTCCTACAAGATGTCAGATCAGTAGATTTCCTATAACTATATCCTAACTTGTAATACTCACGTAAACATATAATCGTCCATCTTTGCAATTGTTCATGCAATGCCGACTATGAGCTCGAGATTCTTTACTACCAACACAAAATTTTGAAATGGTGATTCAAATTCATTCACCATATCAAATTCACGACTCTCAGCTCAAGTGTCGATAAGCCTAATCTTCAAAGCTACCCTTGATTATTGATCAGAACCAAAACTGTTGCAACGTATCGCAAGGCAAACTAGAAAAAGGCAAAAAAGCACAAATAAAATTAAATTAAAGAAGAGATTCATATTCCATAACAAAAATGTCCGGTACATAAAGCGTTTCTCGTTAAACCCCGCGAAAAATTTGTGTTGGCGGGCAGTGTTTATCTGAGATAATGGCAGCGGGTACTCGTACTTGTGGAGATGCATAAATTAAATCAAGCCCATGTTTTTTAGGGGATTCTCTTCTTGCGGTGAGAAGTGAAAAGCTGCAGATCTAGGCTTTAGTGTAAAGCGACTTCGCGGCTTCGATCAATGATAGGTCTTTAAAAGGAGGCTGGAGTTATAGATTATAAAGTTTCGGGGCATGGATTTGATTGGTGGACTGTACGACCTGGGGTTCGCCGAGTAGAACGGACTAGAATCTCATTGAGACATCAAGTTGATCCAAAAAGTTTTTTTATCTTTTGATCGTCTCATGTATATTTCTAGGGGTTCATTTTAATTATCTCGGTAAAAGAGTCCTATGGTGCTAATCAATGGCAGCCGTGGACTTGTTGAAGGAAGGACTACTAAGTAGTCTTATCATTAATTATTCCATAAATTCAAGCGTGTCTATCAAAGGCAACCCGGCCTTTCCATCTCTTATACGAACTCCGTCCGCTATGCCATTAAGAACGTACAAACTGTACAGTATTTATTACAATCTTACTCTTCCTTCTTGATTACCACTCACGAACCAGCGAGTGAAGTCACTTCCACTTCGGCTTGGCTGTTCGTCGTTCTCATCATCTCCTCCCATCCACTTTGGTTTCTTGATTCCTTCAAGGAATCGTGGTGTTTCAAAGGTGTCGATGGTGTTCTTCATTCGATGACCCAGTGCCTCGAAAAAGTTCTCTTCTCCGGGTTCGTTGTGGCGCTGTTGTGGATCAACAGTCGGTCTTGAGGTAGATGCTGTTCCAAGGGCTCGATGCCCCTCGGCTCGCGGTACAGTCAAAACAGGAGCGGCGCGATTATTCGGATTGTTCGGAACCGAACGTCGATCAACAGAAGCTTCTCCAAGTCCGCCAAGTGATGAATGACCATTCAGCTCACGTTCAATCAAATCGCGACCTTCACGCCATGATCCTGTCCCATATCCACTCTCATTCTCATCATCCTCATCTTCGATAACTCCCCCATAGCCTACACAGTCTTTGACTTTTCCATATAGGTTGAAAAGTGTCGCGCATACAGGAACTAATATGAAGATCGGGAAAAACCAATCGAACCAATCCCCCAAAGGCGTAAACACAATCAGCTTTCCAAGAAACTTGTAAAACATCGTCTTCTTATAGACATCTGGTGGGAGAAAAGTGATAAAGTTGAAGGAGAGTGGCACGGAAAGTTTGGCTACTTGCATGGCAAACCACATGGCAGCCTCTCCATGAGTATTTCTTCTAACAAGTGCGCGTCCCCTCCACACTTTAACTTCACTCAAAGAGCTCAAAGCTGCTGCACACATATACAAAATCCAGAAAGATGCAATCACCTGGCCTGCAAACCCGATTTCTCCATTCTCGCTGTCGCGATGATGCACTACTGTGACAGCAATGATTGAAAAAATGGGATTGATTGACTTAATAATTTCGGACCAAACGATGCATATCGAGGCGAGGGCCAAAATAACCCCCAATACAATCTTTGAGTAGGGCAAGAAGAAGTACTGAAAAAGGTATCGAGTATATGGAGTGAAAATTGTGATTCGATCGAATATAGAAGAATGAGGAGAATTTTGGCCAATAACAATCTTCTTTGACGCCGCTGAGTCCAACACAGCCTGTGTTTCCACGGCATCTTTGAGAAGTCGATCCCATTCATCAAGATACCGGGCACGACTGTGCCTAGTTCTTGTCAGTTGGCGACTCAGATCTGCCAAGTATCGTTCCGTGATGACATTCGGAACGGTTGCGTTTGGCTCGGACATCCGCCGTGTCAAAGTTCGTGGTCGAGATTCGGGCAAGTGTATCTCGTCCGCAAGTTCCTCGATCCAGTCCTTGAACTCTCTTGCAGTACCGGTTTTCCGTTGACTCAACTGGGCAACCTGTGCCTCCAAATCCTCCAATTTTTGAATAGCGTCCTCCATGTTTTCATGGACCTTTGGTGCCCGAGTTTGAATCCTCCTCAACTTCCCACTAATGCTTGCATTCTTGAATAAATTTCGAGGTATTGCGACCAGCCCATGACCCATTAGATAAATTGCCAAAACCAATCCCCAACTATATGCGAGAGCCATAACCACACTCTTGAGCGACTCGGGAGATACTCCCTCTTTGACAAAAATGTATAACATTGTAATGAGACCGGCTCCAAGGATAAGGGCTTGATATTGGGCGTTTGCGCGCAAAGAGAACAGTAGACGTGCTTTTGGATCTCGATAACCCGCATCAGCGTATTCGGCAAGAATTGGCAGAATGAACCTAGTAACGAATCAGTATAATCTTCAAGTGGAGGTATGGTGTATTCGAACCAAGTCAAGGCAAATGTAAGCCAGTATGTGATGCGCCAGGCGACCAGGAGCACTCGATCGTAAAGCCATATTCCTCTACTTCCTGCATCCTCTGTCCTTGCACTTGAGGCAAGGTCAATAGGAACAAGTAATACGATACTTGCTGGCAACCAAAGTGCGAAAAAAATGGGAACGAGGAGATATGCCGGAGTCGTGCGAATAGGTAGATAATGTCGCAGTATAAGTAGTACGGCTAAACTGATAACCAGCAAGGCAATCAGAGCAAATATCTCTGAGCCTACCGGCGATGGAGTTGCCAGAGTTTCTATCATGACGATTTTTTCAATACAACAATAGGGTGTATTTCCATTTGGGAAGAAGTATAAGTAATCAATAAAATGATTATCTTTCTATTGTTCTGAGTGAATGGGATGGATGGGATATATTGATTAGCATAGCAGTATGATGAATCCGTACAATACCGGTAGAAGCATTTATTGGTATGGGCCCACTACTTCGTCCGCTTTTGTTGGTAACAATCCACACACAAGCCACACCCCTGCGTCGCACTAGCCCGATTTTCGACAAGCGAGAATATCAAAGACTTAACCTTGCAAAAACTTCTTTTAGTCCCGATTCTCCGATGTAATCACATTGTCAGTTGTCAACCCACCAACCCACCAACCAAGCCGAAAAGGCAAAAAGAGCAAAAAGAGCAAACTGCTGTGCGCATCATGGCTGATCAACTTCAATCGCATGTACCTTCAACAACTCAATATTCGGGGTTTTCTCCTCCACCGTCAAATGGAAATTTGGGAACATATGGATATGACTATGGAAATGGCAATGGAGGTTCGGGAAATTATCAATCAAGTAAGTAGTGAAATCGGATGTCGCATTTCCTCAATATGATACTGACTCGACAACAGGCAGGCGCGACTTGAGCGTCAACGATATCGCAGACATAGATGACCCTATCCTTTTGATGGAAACTCTTACAAGATGGGATTCTCGCAGTTATGATAACTCTATACCTACACACACCAACTCACAATTCACAAACCATTTACAAACTGCCGAAACAGCTAGGGGAATAAATGTTATACAACTGGGGACCCCATCGAGTAATAATGATAACGCACAAACTACTCGAGGTACACCAACAAAGACATCCTTAAAGCGTCGCAGAGATGATTTGGAAGAACTAGCAGAGGAAGGGGAGGAAATGTTTGGTTTCATAAATGCCAAATCTAAACCAAGAAAAGTACGCAAACTCACAGCGGAAGAGGAGGAGGAAGCCGCGAGAGAACGAGAAATATGGGGATCGGAACCTTCTGATTTCGAGGAAGATGATAATGAAGAAAACGGGGATTCTCTTTCCAAATACACGACAATTCCTGATCTCAAACCAAGAGCGCATGGCGTCCATGGAGCTGCAGCAATCTTCCGGAAAACATCTGCAGCTGGCAGAAAATACACCAGTAAGCGTTCCCGTTACGATTCTACAAGAACACGACTAACCAGACTGCAGGACCAGCAATGTCGAAAGTCTTCACAAAATTGGAAATGGCACCCGAAGATTTCATTACGCTACAGGCTGCAGCCAAGGACTATATGCTGGATCCGGAACACCCAGATCGAAGCGCCTGCGTTGGTAGTAAAGACAAAAGAGATAGTGACATGACGAAGCTGAAGCTATATGCTTGTGTCAGAAATTTCTTGGCCGATGAGGGAGAAGGATGGGGCGAGAAACTTTTTGGTAAAAATTCTCCAAGTGGTGCTACAAGAAAATGGATGTGGCCTGAAATGCCGAACAGGTGAGTTTTGAGATTTTCAATTGGACTACTGCTTTGCTAACAATTATCTCTAGAATCATCTCCAGGGTGACTCCTTTGTTGCGTCGCATGGTTACCAATGAGAGACAGCGATTATATGCCCTCAACCTAAGAGTTCAAAAGAGGAAAGAGGACGAGCTCTTCCAGTTACAAGCCGCATCCTCCAATGGCAGTCCAGCATCCAATTCTTCATCAATTGACCCTAGACTCAACTTACCCAATCAAAATACAGTCGACAAAGCTATAGTAGACAATGCAACCGCGAACGGGGCAGCTAAGACGCAGACAGCCAATGCACCAAAGGTTAGTGTCAAGCAGCCGGCACCACTTGAGTACCATATCAACATTATCCACAATGGCAAGCGTATCAAGGACATGTTTACCTTGAATCCCACAAACTGTGTAGGTTTTGTAAGCTTTACTGGACATGTTGATGCAGCAGTAAAGGCACCTTACAAGAAGACGGTTATGAAGGTCTTGGGTCCTAATGGCTTGGTGGAGGTAAAATCAGAAGCAACCTTTGCCATGGCTTTAGTGTCAGTAAGAAAAACAGAGTGGATGGATGGAGACGTCAAGATCATCGTTGAGACGGAAATGACGCAGTGAGCTGTAAATTCCAAGTCACAGCGTAGGACATGGGGCAGCGTGCTAAATGGAAGGGATTACTCATATTGATGTTCTCTAATTTCACAAGCGCTTTTCGCTAGTTTTCGCTTCATAAGAGGGAAGAACATTCTCTCCCGCAATATTTTGATAGTTTGCTATTCATCTATGATGTGAACCTTCATGTATCATAAGAATAGCTGTCTAAAGAAGCCTAGTTGCTAGCTTCTAGGCAAATTATCTGCAAAATACGAAAAGAATTACCTTTATTCGTGCTACGCGAGTGTGCCTTGATGTTTTCAATGACCGTCTGTACCATTGGAGAGTTTTTATAAACAGGTTCATCGTCTCTTCAGAATGGCAATTACTAGCCATCGCTTTCTGGCCGTCGCATCGTGATCCTCTACTCCTCTATCCATAACCCATTCTCTCTCAACAGCATTGGCATCTCTCTCATAGATGGTTTCTATCTCCAACCCAGCCGCTGCTAGTGTTTCATCTTCGAAGAACTCACGCATTATTTCACGACCTGTGTGAAAACCTGCGCAGATCCAAGCCCTGAATATTCGTTGAATCAGTACTTCTGCCAAAGGGGATATTTAATTTCACTCATCTGTGCCCAACTCAACAATCTCCACTAGATAGGGCCAGAGAACTCAAAAAGAACAAAACAACTTCGCAACACCACTCACCGTCCATCTGCCTTCAAAAACCACCGAATCGACTTCAAAAGATTCTCATGCTGCCTCGACATCCACAGACAGTCTGATGCGATCACCCGACTAAAACCCTCCTTATTCTTCACCGAAAACTCATCATCTACCACTCCCCACTCATGGCCCTGAACCGTGACGTCTCCGAATCCATCCGTCTCAATGTTCTTTGCCACATTCGTCCGCAAATTCGCAAGCACGTCCTCATCGGGATAATCGCTCAAAACCACCTCTTGCGCCCCCATCAACGCAGTCACTATCCCCGCCAATCCCGTCCCACTGCCCACCTCCAACACTCTCTCTCCCGTAACCTCCCATCGTTCCCTCCCACCTCTCCTCCCATCGCCCTCTTCAAAAAACTCCGCTAGCTGCAACCCCGCGTTCCATAGATAATGCGCGAATAAAAGTCTGCCCTTCTCACCTGCGGGCCGATATAATTCTAATGTTATCTCGCCAAGAGTTGGGGATGTATATACGATGTGCTGATCGTTACCGCCATGTTGATTTTGGATGTCGTCGGGGTAGAGCGTGGAGAGCGTGGATTGGAGATAGTCTTCGGGTTCCGTGAATTCGGGCTCGAGGCGAATTTTTTCGGTTAGGACGCGAGACATTTTTGTGATGTGTGGCGTGTTGGGGATGGGATTTGCTTTTTTTGGTCTCGGCCTCTGCCCGCCTTGGCTTGGAAGGTGGGATGAAAGTGGATCCTTAGTAGCGCTAGTCCCTGGGGGACCCCTCACACGTGACTACTGTTTCAAAAAGGTGGGGCGACAACGTTAAGATGTATAGTTGATGAGTTATGAGATATATACTCGAGTATACTAATTCAGGCTACAGAGTGAACATGTTATTACTGTCCATAGTTTGAGATACAAATATCCTTCACTCTTTGAAGGATCAGCAAGAACATCTTCCAATCCCTGCAGCAAAGTTCCCTAGGTGAAACTTTCTAAATGCTTCTGGGTCCTGCTTCTGCCAGTGACCAGCCGTTCCTCTTGTTTTGCTTGTCGTTGCGCACTACAAAAAGTTGTGCCGAAAAGGTGATACTTGTAAATTCATGAAGGGCAACTGAAGTTTCTAAGGGATCCCGAACGATGCCGAAAAGCGTATGTCAAAAGTTGTCTGACTAATTGAATGGTGATACTGAGGCACTATCAATTCAGATCTCTTCCTCGTACTGTACCTTCTGGAGAGACAAGAAATGCAAAAGATGATCTCGATGAAATTGCGAGGCTCAGATAACCCCTTTTCACATTGCAAAAACTACTTTCTCGGCACTTGCTAGACTGGTTTTGATTGTAACCGAACAAATTCTTACCTGAGTCTGTATCTCTTCCTAACTTCGATGTAGTATCATCTATTCTCTTTGAATTCGATAGCACTGTCATTAAAAAACTGTCACCGAACTTTCAGGCTAATAAGCGTTGTCAGTATTCGAGAACATGTTTGCAAATAACATCACAAGTAAGATAAAATCCCTCTCTGCATGTTCTTAAATCCAGCGTCTTCTGGCGATTTCGTGCCAGTGCTCAGTTGCTCGAATATTGTCTAAGCGCGAGCCCTTATCATCTATCTCTGGTTCCATCACGACGGTTAGATTGGTCTATTATATATCGAGATTAGTGTCGCACCGCCCCGTGATGGGAGATCCTTGGCATTAGCGCAATCTCACAGTGGTGAATATGCTAATTAGTGCGTTGAGATTGTATCTCAAGCCGAGGCTGATCAGATTGTTATGTATTCACCTATACACCAGTCCAAAGCATTGAATTGTGTATATTTATTCAAGAGTCAAGATCCTATTCTGCAACAAACTCTGGAGATACTATGCCCCCAGAACAGACAATATTTTACCGATCGGCTGTGTTTAAAGGGCATAAGATAAAGATCAGAACCAGAAGAAGTGAGGTCTTTATCAGATGTCGAAGCGGAACCCATCGTCGGCTGCAGAAATATCTCACTGTTCTCAACTTCTCACTGTCAAATCATCTCACCATTGCCACAGAAATTGATCTCTTACTATCGTCTGGGATCATGACTATTGCCACTTCAAATACCAAGTGTCATCCAAGCGACCATAACGCTTGATCCAATGATTAGGCCGGAAAGCTCATGCACCCACTACTTCCGCATGTTTAGATTAGAACGTTGTTAGAAGATGTCTCCTGGAGCTAGAAGACTACAGTCCTGTGGTGCTTGAATCTCTGAATCTGCTGCATTTCAGTCAGTGCGTTACCTTCGAAACTTTTCATAGCACGACCCTTTTATCTTACTCAATATATGTATGTATATTCTCAAGAACTAACTACCATACGTGTATGCACGTGCTTGGTCTGTATTTTCTGATCGGATAGGTGAATGAATGGCTACTATAGGTGTAGTCTAAAGGTCAAACCTATTATGATACGCGGACGTGAATGAGATGCAGAGGGTACGATTGCTATTTCTTATGCTTAAAATCCCACTGTGAGTCTGTGATGTATGCTGTTATGCAGAGTGGTAGGAAAGGCTATCTCATGTGAGGTGAAGCCCACTGTGACATCTGCTGTAGAATCGTATGTCTGCCGACATGGGCGGAAGACATGGCGTTCAAGAATATTTGAAGCAAGAGCTCCTTTGAGAGGCCATATACCATCCTCTTGCTTTCCAATCTCGTCGGAAGCACATTTAGTGTTGCCATGTAGACTGAAGACACCGAGCTCAACTATTGACAGCACGATGTGCAGAGTTTCAAGATACGATTCAAGACGTTTTCGAATTATAATCGCATATGCATGTGAGGTCTCGGACGGTAAGATTAGATGTGTGTTCATCGAGGTCGTCATCAAAAGATGTCGTACTGCCAGTATAAGAATACACTTCTACTATCAGAATCAAACATCGGACGTTAATCAAGCTCTCACTCTCATGAAGTTCATTCCTAGTAAGTTGCAAAGTTGAAGAACAGCTTTAGTAGTATTGGACTTGCATATCACACTCGAACTTCCAAACGCTATCGTGGTAAAGTTGAATTTGGACCTCATGTTCCCGAATCATCCATCCTCATTTTCATTCCCCAGGTGTACTTTGGTTGTCTGAAGCTACTGATGGTTCCCACCTCTCAAATATATATCTAAATTTTCAAGTATAGGAGAACTTCATCTTCGTATTCACCACTCGCTGATATCATACACCTACATGTTTCAGATCGCCATTGGTCTACATAACGTAGCCCCACAAGTGATCGAATCCACACCGATTTTAATATGCCTTTCTGTGCGTAGGTGATGGATGCCATTGGAGTGGAGTGAAGTGAGGTGAGGAGAAGGTCAATACGAAGGAAGTGAATATTGTGCGGATATCATTAATATCTATATTCAAAGCACCGTTGCAGGTGTCTGTTTACCCCTCTGTACAGCCCAAATGTACATCCGCTGAACTGCTCATAAGCTAGCAAGAGCGGGGTATATAAATTCACTGAATACTTAAATACTATATACACCGCAGTCCAGGATGCGTCCCAGCCTGTCAGGGCATGGTCAAGTTAAGATGCATCCATAATCTTAGGTAGGTATATAGATATACTGAAACTACTCCTAATATTGACGAAACTTCCATAATGGAACACAGTGAGGAAGTATGCAAAAGCCAAGCCTGACTTCGGGCAATGACAATGGCAATAGCCATACATAGCTGCCATGGCTGGTCTCTGTCCTTGAGAATCTACATTCGGCACATCATGAACTCTCTGGATTGGGTTTATCTCATGGTTCACGAGGCAGACTGCTGCTTAATTATGTGAAAGCAAAACATGACACCGCAGTACAGCACGCATAATTCATTGAAAGGTAAAATAAAACAGCAGTAAGTAGTCGTGGCTTTCACCTAAGCATGTTTGATAAACGGGTATCATAATACAGCCCAACTCCATATGATTGATTACCTTTATTCCTCGAAGAAACCTCCATCACTAACATTACCGTCTTGAACCTCATCTGCTCTTGCCCCCTCCACGGCCCCGAATGCTTGGTTCTTAGAAAAGCCTGTAGATTTGTTCTTTGCAATCTTTGTAGCCCTCGTATCCTTCACACCACGCTGGGCTCTTCTCTGGCGTCGATTCAATCCTGTAGTATCGATTGATGGAGCTTGCTCTTGCTCTTGCGGCTGTGGTTTTGGCTTTGGTTTTACAATCTTTCTCTCAGGAAGTTTGATAGCTTTTTTGGTCGAGATAATGGTATCTGGTTTCCTGTTTCGTAGTCGATCGAGGGTTCCTTCCTCCATGCACTTCTCGACTTCCTTCCACATTGGGGGTTTCGTCTTATCCACTTTGACCTCTACATCCTCTTCTGAGCCCTTTGGAGGATAAAGACTGATATATGTTTCGCTCAGAGGGTGGTATTGGGTATAATTAAGATCCACCTCAAGAATGTGCATCTCCTCCTTCAGTTGCTCAACTTCTTCAGTCGATTGGGTTTCTAGAAGTCGTTTTCGAAGTTTCTTCAATTGTCTGGTAGCTTTTTGACGTTCTACAATACCCCATTAGTACGAGAGACAAATCCTATGCTGAGGGTATGTCATACCGAAGAATCGGACCATATGGTATTTCTTGATCATTTTCTGTCTAATCTTCTCTGCCTCTGCAGAAGCCAATTCCTGCTGATATGCAGCAAGAGCTCGTTCATCCTCTACGCGCACATCCGCAGGAAGATCTTGTGCCCTTTCAAGCCTCCTTGTCACATCTCTTATCTTCTTCTTTATGGTATTAACGCTGGAAGCATGTGCTTGTTTTTTGTTAAATGCTGGTTCTGACTTGCGTTTCTTTGCAGGTTTTGGTTCATCACCATAGACTTGAACTTGTCTAGATGGGTGTACCTCTTCTGGAGCATCCGAATCTGAAAGTTTTCGTTTTGGTGCCATGATGTTGTTGTGTTGAATAAAAACTTGTACCAATGGTGAATTTGTTGTTGTTGGTTCAGCCTTGTCAAATTTGTTAAACTCACAAAATATTAATTTTCCTCCCACACCCATCAACAAACCCACCTGCAGCGGAACAACTTCGGGCCGACATAGCACAAGAGTTATCTACAAGACAATGGCAGAGCTGTAAGTACTTTTGATTTCCTCTCTTGTTTAATTCTCTCTGTCTCATGCTTTCTCTCACTTGAAAAATTTGAAAGCATCAAATTCAGTTCTGTTGGATAAACTGTCTCTTATTGTTCATGGAGATAAAATTTATAGAACCCGCCTTCAAACAATCCATGGCTTTTAAAGCTACTTTAACTAACAATTAATTTATAGATCAATAGACCCAGAGCAGTCTCCTGTTCCAAGTCTCAGACCAAATTCATTTGGACCACAAAACCTTCGCACCAATAAGTCTATTAATTTTATCACTACTTCCTCTGGTATTGATTACAGCTTTCAAGTTGGACTTCTTGAAAGTACGGATATTGAAGAGCACCAGAGCTTCGATTTCGGGACAAATCCACGGCTGAACTTTGCTAACCATGAAATTGTGAGCGACACCGTTTTCGATTTCAACTCTTTTCGCTTTCGCCCTAAACCCTCACCATCAGCGACCTGCCACATAGATAGTAAGTTCAGCCGTCTAGCTACTTGACTAAAAACGGATCAGCTGATGGCTACTTTCCAGGTTGGTTCAAGGATCCACTCGGTACTTGGCGATATAGCCAACCAGATAGAAACGCAAGAGTCGATAGGATTAAACTTTTAGATTGGACTAGAGTATCAGATTGGCACTTCCCCCCGGTAAACATGGATAAGACTGAGGGGATCATCAGATGGTCGCCAAACTCGGCTCGTGCTCAGTTTGTTGCGTTCAATCTGAACTACCGAATTCTTCAAGTCTATGAAGCCAAGGGTCTCGCACAGCCAGGAAATTTCGAGTATGAACCCTTATCTCGTTATATTGACATCCCCTCTTTAAACACTTTCGACTGGTCGCCAGTTGTCGAAGGATTGGTTGCTGTCGGTACTTCTAGTGGCGAGCTTCAACTACTACGAGTTGACGACAATTCGAATGCCGTTTTGTCTCTTTCCATCAAGCAGCCGAGAGCATGTCAAGCTGTCGCTTTCAATACTACTGGATTACTAGCAATTGGTCTCGAAAGAGTTCGAAACGATGGCTCTCTGCAAATTTGGGATGTTAATCAACGTCTAGCTGGTTGGGATACTTCTCAGCCGGGATGGAATGTACCCAATAATGCGGTTGAGCCGAGAAAGTTAGAATCGGCCACCGTGAGTGGACGTAAAAAAAGCAACTCTGACGGCGCTACTGACAACAAGCAGGTAACTAGCATTAAGTTCTTCGAGGATCAACCGCAAACCCTTGCTATTGGCATCAAGAACTCTTGTGTTCGAATTCACGATCTCAGAGGTTCGTTTGGTGGCATCTCCCTGGCAACAAGTACTAACATAAAACAGATCCAAACGGTGGAGTGATCACATTTCAAACCAAATGCAACAACAACCTCACCATAGACTACTCAGACCCCAACTACTTTGCTTCCTCTTCGTTAGATCAGCCAGGACTTATGGTCTGGGACCGTCGCGCCAGCACTCGAGCCACTGCCTCTCCAATGTACCTGGATACATTCGATAATGAAGGATATGTTTGGGGAGCTGCCTTACAGTTGAAGAAGGTCATTTCTACCGACAAACAGGGCTCATACATCAAATCCTTGCGATATTGCCGAGAGCAGCGTGGCACTTTGGGTGTTCTCTCTAATACTGGCCAGCTTCAGGTTTTAAAGACTAACAAGGAGTATTACGATCCTGGTTCGGAAGATGATGTCAAGGGAAGCCCGGAACTTCTTCAAGTCAAGAAGTCGTATGATCTCGAATACCCATATTTTGACCCAAATCATGGACGCAAGCAAGAAGATAGGATTGTTTCTTTCGACTGGTTAACACTTGGTAATACAAATCTACAACCTCGTGTTGTCGCACTGAGGGCTTCTGGTTCCTTTGAAATAATGCAAACACCTTCTACTACCACTGGTTATTTGATGAACTTTATGCCATGGCAGCCACCGCACAATCATGATAAGGTACCTTATCATACTTTGATGGACTTTGCAGATGCCACTGAGCGTAGAGCGAACCTTGGTCCTCTTTACGCAAACGAGTTGAAAGCTCAAACGCCCGTATTTGGACCAGATGGATACAATACTCCACATGTTCAAAAATCCCTAGCAGCTGCTCTTAATAAAGCTCTCGAACGTCCCGAAACTTCAGCATCAGATGTCATGGCAGAGACACCCGGCAGTCAGATTGGTAGGGCATCTTATACGAAGTCAACTTTCACAGAAGCCATCGACCGCCAGCTTTCGACCGTCAACGACCCAGTGTCGGAGATATTCGCGAAGAAGGGTGTTATTAACGATGGTGATGATCCTGGTTCTTTGAATAACAAGCTATCTGCTATGAACCTCTCGAGTAGTGGCAAGATGAAGACCCAGAATTCGTCGGCAACCGAGATTTACTCAAGCAGGGATATGCACGAGTTATTACTTGAAGCTCGCATACCAGCTTCGAAAGCCGATGCCATGTTGATCGATAATCTGTTCATCCAACGTGCTCTCAACGGTTACTTATTTGATTGTGATAAAAATAAATCATTGGTGAAAGAAGATCCATGGCTCAAAGACGTATGGTACTGGATTTCAGGTATGTTTCTTTCTCTGGTATTTTTTTTGATACGTACTAATATATGTAGTCGCCGAAAAAGCAGCCAAGGATGACGGTATGCTGTCTTCGACCCTTGACCTTAGCTATTTGGGAGTCTATACCTTGTGGAATAACAAGCTGGGTGGAAAGGCCGAATCAAGACTTGTCGGAAGCACTGTTGTCCCTGATCGTACTCAGTGGGAACGACTTATTGCTGTTATCAACAAACGTCTCGGCTACGAAGAATATACTGGTGTGCCAACAATGAAGCCACAACACCGACAATTATGTCTTGCCCAATGCGGTTTTGCAAAACCAGCAGCCGAGCTAAAAGAAATTCTTGCGCGTCTAGAAGGAAGAGGAGAATATACCAAGGCAGCTGCACGGGCACTTTTTGAGGGAGAACCTGAGCACGCGGTCGATATCCTCAGACGTGGTGACAAGGAGATGATTTTTGTTGCTGTAGCACTCGACGTTACTACCAAGAGTCCATCCAACGTTGATCTCTCCAATTGGAGCAAGACACTACTTCAAGATCAAGCTCACGTGTCTGGAGATCCTTTTCTACGAGCTATCTTTGGCTATGTTACAACGCGAGACTGGGAGGTTATCGCAAACGAGACATCTTTGCCATTAAGATATCGCGCTGGAGTGGCTTTAAGATACCTCAGTGACCTTCAACTTACAGAATGGCTTGACAAGGAAATGGAAAAAGCTATTGAACATGGAGATATCGAAGGCATTGTTCTTGCAGGAATCACCAATTACATGGTTGATATCCTAGCGAAATATGTCGCAAAGTTCTTTGATTACCAAACCGCCATCCTAATCATGACTTTCTGCTACCCTCGTTATATCTCCGATATTCGCTGTGATGCTTGGCGTCAAAACTATCAAGCCTACCTAAACCGTCATCAACAGTTTATCCTACGCGTCCAATTTGACCAAGGCTCAGCCAAGAAATCTCGCCAACGAGACGGTGTTCCAGTCGCCAAGCCCCCCATTCGCCAAGTCACTGTCCGATGTCTTTACTGTGAGACCCGCTCCTCAAATGATCGTCATAATGCTACAGGCGCTGCTCCAGCACCTCCTAACTCATCTGCTGGTCTCTCTTCTACTACCGATGAACGTAATCCTCTAATGTCCAGCGGTATCAATGCCGGTCTTAGCTGTCCTCGCTGCGGTTCGCATTTACCTCGTTGTGGAATCTGTTTAGAGATTTGCGGTTCTCCCAGATCGGATAGGCCTGAACTTTCTGATGATCCAATGGTGAGGAGAACGGGCAATCAGTTGACGTTCTGCTTGAAGTGTAAACATGCTGCTCATATGGATCATGCGGTAACGTGGTTCGATAGACATGTGGAGTGTCCTGTATCGGAGTGCAAGTGCCAATGTAACTTCAGGGCTAATATCGATATTGCTTGAGTTTACGAGGGAAGGAAGGAAACGGAGAACGGCGGGACCAATTTTCAATGGCGTTATGTGAATGCATGGTTGCATATGAGTGGAGATACCCCTTTCTAGTGAGAAACTGGAAAATTAGTTATGAGAACACAATACCAAGATGAATTCAGCTGACATGGGTGATATTCTTGCTTATGGTGAAGTTTATAGAGGGTATCTTGACATTACTAGGACAGTCACTTTCAAGAGTTGTAGTCATACAGCAGGATAAGGTCTACTAATCACTAGGTTTTTCAAAGTGTTTATTTCCCTATGCCCCAACTTTCAAATAGATAATTTCCCGCCATATCAGCATTCAATGTATGAATTAGAATTCCCACTGATCTAACAATCCAACCGCATCTCAATCCCAACATCCTAGCCCAATCAATAGCTTCCATCTCAGCCATTTTCCTCCTTACCTTATCCCTCTACTCATTCTCCATCACATACTGAATATCATCCGTATCCTTCCTAACATTACCCTCACTCAATACTAATTATTTTTACTAATTTCAAGTTCAATCCAATTAATCCAATTTACGAGTACTAGCTTCGTGCATGCGTTCATCATGGCTGGAATATCCGAATATCTTTCAGCCTCAGAAATCAGTGTAATGAAATTTCGTCACGGTATATACATACTCGAGTACATCCTTTGGCTTGAATCCCCAAAAAACTAAAATTCATTCCTTGCGTTTCGATGAGCACTGGTGTCTGTACCGGAAATGTTAGGGTCTATTTGTAGGGAGTTGTGTGGGATTTGGTATATTAGATTGGATTCCTTGAGCTCATTTCGTTTCTAATTCTAATTCTAATTCTAATTCTAATTCTATTTCTATTTCTATTTCTATTTCTATTTATATTTCTATAAAATTTCTGTTTATTATATTAATATTAAATTTCAATTTCGGAAAAAGAAAAAGAAAAAGAAAAAGGAAAGGAAGTATCAACTCGTACACGAAATCACAACCTCAGAAACCGCACAAGACCCGCAAACTTCGTACTCCTAGCTAGTCTCCTACACAAACTAACTCCAAATTAAGACGAGACCTGAGCAGTGAGCTACATCATATCATATGTTGTGTAAGCATACTAGTACACATACACAACAATCCATCCAGCACAAGAAAACTCTCAACACATAACTCTCAACTCCGAACTCTCAACTCGCACTATCCCTCTAACTTATCTAAAGTTTTGATATATATATATAACTTCCAACACCAAATTGTGCTCTGGTGAGGAGCTGTGATAGTGACAATCCTCAGTGATAGTTCTCAGTGGCTAGGCTAGATTCCATATCCACTAACACTCAAGGACAGTGAACTACTCGAGTATGGGTAGTGACAGTAACAATTCCATACACTTTAACACTTTACTGTTAACGTTTTAACACTCTAACTCGGATCTCGATGCGATAATACAGTACTAGCGCCAATGCCAGTTTCAGTGCCAGTGTCAGTGCAGCTACATGTTATCTGCATATATGCATACCTCTTCTCCTCTTGTTATTATCATACTATATCAATTCATATCATATTAAATTATATCATGTTATATCATATCGCTATTCAGTGCCAGTATTAATACAGCTACATCTTATCTGTATACTATACATACATGCCCCTCCCTATCTCTTCTTATTACTATCATATCAAATCAAATCATATCACTGCCAAACCAAACTATTAGATTCTAAGCAAGTACCTAACTAGGTAGTTTATTACCAACTTGAATCCAAGAAAGCCAAATCCCCAATTATCAATCTCAACATAATCTCAAACAGTTCTTTCAAATTAGTTGTTTGAAATATATATATATATATATATATACAACTGTAATACTATTCCTCAAGGAGACAGAACACAATACCCTGATGGGAAAGAAAGAAATAAATAAATAAATAAATCAGCTATTTATTATACTATAAATGAAATAGATTTTCCCCAATCAATCAATCTCTCTTTCTATTTATCCATCCATATTACTCAATCACTCACTCACTCACTGCAATCCGATTCCAACTCCGATTTCGATTTCGTCTTCAACCTATACATATCTTCAACCTATACATACATACATACATATATATATATATACATGTACGCTCGCTCGCTTATATCCACACTTCCTTTCCTCCCCTTTCCTTTCCTCCCCCTCTAATCCCCTCCCCTTCCCACCACCATCCAACCTCTCTAACATACCCTCTAGCACTAGATTATCCTCACCCCATCCTCACCATCCTCTTAACCCTAACCATTTCTCCAAGACCTTGCACACCACACCACACCACACCACACAACAGCCAACAGATAAATTACCTGTACTCTCGTTCACGAACACGAACACGATCACGAATACAAAAGATTTCAACTTTTCCTTGCAAGAATTTTCTACCTCATTGAATCCTCGACGAATTGCAAGCACCTTCCTTCCTTCCTTCCTTTCACCCCATTCCAAATGCCTGCAAATCCATTCGTGGTATAGTTTTAAAAGTTTCGTTTGTTTCGATTTAATCACCGGCCAATTATATTATGATATAATGATCCATTCCAACGCCATTTGAAAATGCAACAATGATTCCTCCCCTCCCTTCATTTCCGCCCAACTATCAATGATTCCCACATCAGCCCCTATATCTACGGACCTCATCATACCATCGTATTCATCTTTCCTCTCCTTCATTTAGATAAGCTTGCTCTTCTAGTCTCTTCCCTTTAACCACCCCTGCAGAAATACTGCCAACCCCTTCCTCTCCGAACTTTCCACCATGCTTTTGATAAATCCACTTCCATCGACTCCCATACTTGGGAAGAAATTTCTTTGTAAATGCTCCACAAACATATTTCCAGTCTTCATATAAATAACCTGTTCCAATCCCGCTATTTCATTCAATACACTCTTAGACTGCGCGTCAACCATTGGCCTAAATTGTGGTTCGCGAAGAACTTCCCAACAAACTGGGTGGAAACGCTGGATGAGGAAAGCGTCAAAACCTGGAAAGCTGGGTTGAGGTGGGAAGGAAGAAGAGATGGGTTGGCCTGGAGTAGCGATTGTGGGACCACCCCAGAGCTCGGCCATTTTTGTCATCACGGAAAAGGCGAGCTTGCTGGCTGCGAGATTACCGTTTTCATTTGTGACGGTTTTCGCTAATGTTGTAACAGATTGAACAAGAGGATCGAAGAAAGCTTGATTCTGCTCACTGACAAGTACAGAACCGAGCTCGTTATTGAGGATTACCGTTACAAAGGACAAATATTCTCTTCGTAGTTCGGCTAATTGAATTCCATCATCTGTTCCCGTAACCGGCTCGCTTAGACTAGCGAAAACTCTTTGAAAAAGTGGTGTAAGTAGGGAGTTCAGAACTTGATGGATATCCTTCTTAAATCCAAATACCACTTGATCTAACAATCTTAAAAACATGGCGATTTCTTCTTTGGAAGAACTTTGCGACAATAAGCCATCAATCCATCTTGGAAGTAATGGTAACATCGCAACTCCCATAACTCCCATAAGTCTAGAGAAGGAAGATCTTGCTGCATTGCGGACCTCAAAAGAAGTCCTAAGCGCCTCAAGTGCAAACAGAATTGCTTCTGCCGCACGGCTAAATTCGATGGTTATTTCCTTGACAGGAGCTTGCCCAGCCCTTTTCCCTTCCCCAGGAGACCAATCAGAAAATCCATGGGCTAACGATCCAAGAGCAAAAATAATGTGATGGATTTGAAGAATAGCTTGTGCGTTGCCTGACTTGGCTTGTTCCAAATGTCGCTCTATATCCGAGAATAGGGGGTCCATGATTGTTCTTGCGTAGATAGCCTGCTTCTCTATTGGAGTTGAGGCTGTGGATGAAATACAACCAATTGCCTCGTACAGGTTAAGCTGGGCATTGAAAGCAATGTCCGCCGCATCATGCCCACCATCTTCTGATGACATATCGTCATCATTCTCCCTTGGAACTTCTGCCTTCAGGGGAAGGAGATCACTAATGGATTGAATGATAGTCTCCGCAACATTACCAACTTGACCTCTCAGGTGTTTTACGAATCTGTGGAATAGATACCACGAACGTATCCTGACTCGTGGATGCCTGTGGTGCACAAAACTAACGAAATGTTCGAGAACCCGAGGAATATATTGGGTTTGATTCTCGAAAAATGAGCAGTATCGAACGCAAATTTCCATGTACTGGAGTGAAATAGCAGGATGATTGAAAGCAGCAATACCTGTACAGTCTTAGTCAGTTTTCATGCAAAAGTGACTCGGATAAGCTTACCGGATTCGACCATTTTGGACATCATGACGATCAGACGTTCGGCTGCTATACTAGATGGCTGGCTCTTGGCATAAAGACCACCATTGACAAGCGTTAGTTCTCCAAAAAGGTACATCTCGTGCAGTGCAAGGTCTAAATCACGCCAGTCCATCCGACCGTCTTGTTGATCGAGTCTCTGGAACGTGTTTCCAATCACATTGCTCAAAACATCAATATATAGAGCTTCATCAATCGCTGCGATAGTCTTTTGAAGAACCTGTAATCGCTTTCGAAGCTCTTGAAATTCCGCCTCGTCTGTTAATTCATCCTCATCGGCATATGAAGAAGTGTCATCGTATCTCATCTTTTGGATTATGGCATTGAGTATAGGGGTCAACATGGCTGCATATGCAGGTGGTAGTGGTTGTGCTTTGCGTAAAAATGTGTTGAGCTCTGTGAGAGATGGTATGACCGTTGCGCATATCTCGTCATACTCATCTGAGAAGAATCGGAGTAGGAGTGGAAGGAAAGTTTGTAATAATTGCTCTGCTTGTGCCCGTACCTCGGAGTCGACTTTAGTATCTTCAAGAATCTTAACCAAATCGGAGACGACATTGTTGACAAGTTTTGCAACGGCTTCCGCAAGATCAGTATCATAGCTAGAAGTGTTTCGTAAATCGTGTAAGGCGGGACTAGCAATAAGTTGCGAGACAACCTGTCCAAGATTCAAAAACAAAATCATTCCTATCTTGTCAGAAGATTTCATCTTCTTCGCCACAATCTCTGTAAAGCAGTCTATGGCGGCATCCTTGACTTTATCCTCGCCACCATTCGGGTTTCGTCCAACCAAGGGGAATAACAAATTCAATATATCCTGGTTCACAACCAAAGAGATATCAATCCAAGAGACCCATTTTCCAATAACCTTTAAAGTCATTTCCACAATAGCATCGTTATTGCCTTGCCAGTATGTAAGGATTTGCTGGAAAGAAGCTGCCACTGTCTGTACATCTCGCGCACGCACAAGATCCTTCAACTCAACATTTCGCTTCGTCTCCTCACCTGCCCTGGCTATCATCAAGTCGGCAATTTCGTCATGAATTGAGCTCAGAAGTCGCAGATATAATACAACCCCCGAAAGATTATCCACAGACCCATTTTGATGGCCTGTGAAGCTCAAGAAATCCCTTATAAAACTTTCCCAACCCTCCTTGTATAATGATGAGAATAAAAATGTCAACGTTTGTGTGAGCTTATTCTGCAAAGCGGGCGGATCGACTTCGTTTCCAGAGGCATATGTTCTCCTCACATAGTCATGTAGTTGTTCCTTGAGGCCCCGCAAGCTCTGATCGTCTATATGTTGAGTTTGAATTGCATGATTGACGATATCCAACGAGACCAATCGTACGACTTCGGCAGCTTTGGGAGCTCTGGTAAAGAGAGTAAGACATGCTTGTAGGCTTGAGGTATCGCCTCGTACTTGGGTGAGATATTCGACCGCTTGCCCCTTGAGAGTTGGCTCGGATCGAGGGTCCCATGCGATTTCGATGGCTTTCTCAATCTATAGAATAAATGGCAGATTAGTAAAATAGTTTTAGTCGTATGTATAAGAGCTTGATTCTCGAACATTACCCTCGCCAGCGCAGAATTTCCAGGGAGCGGTGTATCAAGAACATACCTGGGCGTCCATAACTGCTGTATTCCCAAGAACTGAAGCTTGAGGTTACAGCAGACCAAAGGTATAGAAAGTTTAAGTGATCCACAATTATCGTAAAGTAAATCGCATGTGCGAGTACATCTGTAGCATTCGTCGAGGCTCCGCTACCGAGTCATAATAATCTTTAGATTTATTCGTTGGATGGTTGAGGGCGAGATAAAAAGTTGCAATATAAAACTTTGGTACACGTTCAAATTGTATGGTGAAGGATAGCCGACTCTTGAGTTTATATCTTGAGTTCTGAAAAGTACTTAAGTTGTAAGTTTTGCAATACGATGTTGGAAAAGTTCTAATGAAAGCAGTTCTTTTGGAACTATTCTGCCCCACCAAAGCACAACAAATCTGAAGGGCAAGGCAAGGTTCAATTTCAGCCTTTCGCTTGGTGGAAAGTGGAAAGTGGAAAGTTGTACCTAATGTAACACGTGAGAGTCGGCCCCTATTTTATCCGGATTCCGCCCTTCAAATGTTTCTGGTAAAAAGAATATGGAATATCTGAGCTGATTCACTGATTCACTGATTCACTGTATCACTGTATCACTGTATACGAAAAAGAAATATATCAAACTATTTTCATTAATAGTCTATTTGGGTAAATAAGGTAATAAAAGAAACTCTGTGTCATTGTGATAAATACCATCAGACATGTATATCAATTCCTCATATACCACATTACCCTCTTCAATTTTTTGATGCTGTTTCAAAATTTGGCCAGTATGTATGTAGTTATCCTTTCATCACACCTCCGAAAGGTGAGAACGAAAATGAAAACCACAACAACAAACGCCTACAATGAAATCTAATCCCCCAAATTCTATGAGGCGTCGCGTTTACGACGCACGTACATGGTGATTCTGATGCAAATGTACACTCCGGCCGTTAAAAAAGCTATAAGGGCCAAGAGATCGAGAGGAAATAGAACGCCCGCCAGTAGGAAACCCATCCATGCTTTGCGTAGCCACCAGGTCCCATCGATGTCATGAGGAGCTTTTGTGAAATCAGAACTTTGACGCGAACTCCTAGAATTTTCGTGAAAAGTGGATTGATCTTGCTTGATATCCTGATTCTTATCTTCACCCGGTCATTGAAACGAGAATCCACCTGGGAAGCCTTGAGGAGCGCCTCGAGTGCGGCCCCCCTGAGGCATACCTCCACCGAAATTGTGGAAACCTCCACCACCACCTCCACGGCCTCCACCACCCATACCACCACCACCCATCTGGGCTCCGAACATCTGCATGAGGATTTCTATTGAAGAATTTAGCAGTGTAATATCAAAATGTCAAGATCATAGACTCACCTGGATCAATGTTCATTCCTCCTCCTCCTCCTCCACCTCCCATACCGCCAAAACCGTCCATTGGATCTTCCAAATCTACACCGCTGTCGTATCGTGCACGTTTCCTGATGTACTATGTTAGATTGTGTAGGCAGTAGCGAAGAATGAAATAGACTTACTCAGAATCACTCAGAGTTTCGTAGGCTTCTCCGATGTCCTTGAATCGCTCCTCAGCATGTGGGTCATCCCGATTCTTATCTGGATGATGGATGATTGCAGCTTTTCTGTAAGCCTTCTTGATCTGACTATCGTCTGCATCCTTCTCCACACCAAGAATTTTGTAGTAATCCTTTCTCTTGCTCTTCTTCAACTCAAGTTCAGCTCTTCGTACCTCCCTGGCAATGCCGGCGTCTGATGGATCCTGTTCCTGCAATTGCTTGAGCTCGCGTACAGCATCCTCCCACTGGCCAGATTCACCAAGGGCGGTGGCCTTTGTCTTCTTTGCTTTGGTATATGAAGGGTCGAGTTGAAGAGCTTGGTCGCAATCCTCAATGGCAGCCGCATAATCCTTGAGGCGAGATTTGCACAAAGCACGATTCTGAAGTAATTTGGAGTTTGTTCCTCTGTTGGTGGGGTCGAGTTCGAGAGCTTCGCTGTACTTGGCAATGGCATTTGGGTATCGCCCAGCCTTGAACTCTGCATTTCCTTCGGTCTTCAGCGAATCAACCTTTCTGACCAATCGTAAATACTTGACTGCGTCTCTGTAATCAGGATCGCAGGTCAAAGCTTGTCGGAAATGCTGCATAGCCTTTTCATTTTCACCCTGAGAGTACAAAGCTCTGCCCCTCAAGACAAGCGCCTCAGGATCCTGACTGTTGCCGCGTAACAAGGACATGGCAACATTTTGTGCATCTCCCAAAGCATTAACATTACCCATCTTCAAATATGCCTCACCACGCATCAACTGCCATTTTCTTGGCTTGGGAACACCTACACCAAGTAGTCTTTCTGCCTGCTCGATAGAGTGTATCGCCATTGATCCAGTTCCGTTCTTGAGCGCGTCTGCAGCAGAAGCAAGGTGTTGTAACATGGCTTTAGCTGGAGCCATATCTTTGGCAGATGGAGGTGGCTGAATGCGGCCAAAGGTATCCATAGCCTCTTGTGGCAGTCCCATGCTGATATAGATTCGAGCCAATCGAAGAAGGACTTTGTGATTGTTAGGGTCAAGTTGATCAGCACGCTTGGAATCTTCTAAAGCTTGGTAATATTGGCCAGCAGCCATATAAGCAGCGGCGCGGTTGTTGATATAAGTGGATGATGATGGCATCACTTCGATGGCTACAAATGGTATAAATATCAGCTGCTGTCAATCACTAAAGCCCTTCGAAGGCACGAACCCTTAGTGTATTCTTCAATAGCCTTCTTGTACTGCTTGACCTTGTAAAATCTGTTTCCCGCATCCTTGAATGCTTCTGCTTCTTCTGGACTTGGTGGTGCTACAGCTTGAGGACTCGCTGGGTTTGATTTATGAGCTGGTGGGGGAGGTGGTGGTCCCTCTCCATTGACCGAAGCATTTTGTCCATTGGCTGCACTTGGCTGCGGAGCAGGCTTTGGAGCAGACTTTGGAGCAGACTTTGAAGCAGGCTTAGAAGCAGGCTCTGCAGGTTTTGGTGTGCTTGGTTGTGTGCTTGGTTGTGAAGTTGTTGCCGGTGGTGGGGAAGGAATGCGAACACTGGGAGACTCAACGTCAATATCCATGGGTTCCGACATCCTAACTTGGGTTGATAATCTCCGCAGTTGATCTGGCGGAAGATTTAAAGGATGAGTAGTATTTGGATCGAATGAATTTCGCGACGGATAAGCACCCGACTTTGGGCGAATGCGGCTGGATTTTGTTGACCCAGATTGCTGCTTTTCCTCTGGTTTGATATTTTCTTCTTCTTTGCTTTTGCTAGATCTCGAATAAGATTTCTTAAGTGGAGATGTTGACCGAGGCGATTCCGTTTGAATGCCCTCTTCGTTATCTGACGTTTTCTTCGATTTTCTTGGTGATTTTGAGAAGAGGTTAAAGGACATTGAGAATAGATAATAATTCCCGCTGGGATAAAACTTTGGTGAGTGTAGCCGGACTGGCGGATGATTGTGGTTGGACAACGCTGAAAAAATGACGGCTTATAGTGGTGATAGCCCGATTGTGTTGGTGAATATAAGTTTTTTTTTTCCCCAGCTAGAATCTGATAGAACTTCTTAGAATATATTCAATATATGCTCCTTGCAATACACAACCAACCAATACAACAACACAACATATACAACAAGATTTGAATTGAAGATGAAGATGAAGATGAAGAAGAAGAAGATGAAGAAGAAGAAGAAGAAGAAAAGGAAAAAGAAGAGTGATGAAAGGGAAAAATGTTGAAGTATTTAGATATAGAGAAATAGGGATTTATTTACTTTTTGGATTTTTGGTATATTTGGATTTCGGTTTCCTTTTGTAATAATTCTTCTCTTATTGTTTTATATTTTCTTACACAGCCTTCTCTCTTATAATTTGAAATAAGTTGATGAGATAGATGGAAAGAAGTTTATGAGTAGGAGTTAAAAAGAGAAGTTAAAGTGAGATAAATATTGAGAGGAGTGCGACAAGTATGATTGATATATGATGGTGATTGGAAATGGAAATGGAAATGGAATTAGAAATGGATAATGGAGATGGCGATGGAGCTGGGGAATTGGGGATAAACACAATTTTGACCTCTTTGAGTGGTATTATGGTATTATAATATCATTCAATCAAATCAGTAGTTCATCATGAGTATGTATTTCTAGTTCTAGTATTTAGATCTTCTTTGCAGGGCATTAACTTCCAATAGATTTTTTGTGGCCCCATGAAGCTTTTCAAAATTATTCGTCTGTGCTGCTTTTCTTCTAAATAAGTTCAATAACTCCGAGTAAGTTCTACCTAATTTTATTACCTAGGTAGGTAGGTATAAACTTTCTATTATTGTTGATTAAACTTTCTACTGTTGTGCTCAAAGACTGGTATCCTATCCTATTCCCTTTTTAGACGCTGGCTCAGTTGCTCACCACTCCTCAGCCATCTCAATTCTGTGTGGATTATCGTGGATATCATTTTTGCTTGTTTCTAGAAGCTTCTCAGCTACTCATGCTTGTTTGACTTGCACATCTGTGCTAACTTCTAAGCAACAACTACCGCCCATGAAGTCCGAAAGGTAAGATTTATCAATGAGTGGGAATTATGTGTTAATAGGATTCTGAATAGCTTGAGCAAGTTGAGGTTATCTACCTACTCTCTACTTCTAGAGAGGCTGTTGATATGTTATATATGTTACTGTATTTTGTGCTTGTTTAGCTCTAATAATAGTACTACAAGTATCAATTATATTCTTTTCCATGATTTTATCAATGTTAGGTCAATTAGATGATTCCCCAGCCCCCTAAATTCGCATTAACCCCCTTCATCCTCAGCCAACCGATATTACTCGTAAATCCAATCGTTGGATTTTCCGATGGCGGAGTACCCATTTTTATATCTATCTCATCTCAGCCTTGCTCCTTCATCAACACCCACCTGGTTCATCTACAAATCATCTAGCAGATCCGGAACTATCATAACAAGCAGTCATACTCGGCACTCTCCCGAGGCGGGAGTCATGTTACCCTCGAGGATTCGGACGTTAAGGATGCGCCGCCAAGTCGAAAAAGAAAACGGTCGCTTGATAAGAGAGTTTGAATGACTTGACGTTTTACAGAGTATGTAACAGTACCTGTACCGTACAGTACTGTCCATCTCGTTTGTTGACATTTGAAACGTTGATGTAGGTTGGTTGAACGGGGGTAACCATTCGGACTTTATCTCAGAACCTATTTCAATTCTCGAGTCCACAGGAATTAGAACTGTTTATATCTCCCCTTCATATTTGATTAATTTCATCTTCTGTGAAAACTCACAAAGTGGATTATAATAGCACAACGTGTGGTCATTCATAAAAATATCATGGAAGTATCCATTAACATGCAACCAGAGGCTCCACGGCGGATCCCGAGGTCATTGGAGATCACTACTGAGTACCGACAGATGCACTGCTGTACAGAGTAGGTAGTCGACTGGAAAGTATCCATGCCGGTAGAATTTGGATAAAATGCAATCTAATGCAACTTTCGGTTTCAGATCTCTGATGAAGTTTGGTAACAAGATGTAATGCTCTTTGGCGAACTTGTTTGCATGAGATTGGATTAGATGAGGAGCCATTGCGGGGCCCCATGTCTTTCATTTCCCCCGAAGAATTACCTTGATGAGTTCATCAATTGAATTAATCGAGTAGATTTGATCTCTTGAGTCCCTCCCTTCTCATACTATACTACAAGCTTACACATTGAACGTACCAGACAATTCTTCTAGATTTACTTACGAACTACTCGATTTGGAGCACGCTCTCTTTCATCTTCCTACATCTATTCCTAATTATCGTCCATCTAGTCGCTCTGTAGCTGGCTTCCTGGCAGTAGTAGTTGTTGCAACCATCTCAACACCAAGCCGCGATTCCTATCCATATCTTTCCAGCCAAAAAAAACATCCAACGCCAGAACAAACGGTAATCCATAGTTTCTCCGATTTTCTTCAAACTACAACCTCAATGGCAACATAGTCATCACTCTCAGAAATGTCGAGTCTATCAGTTCCCGTACATTGTCCCAATTCATCGAAATATGATGAACTGCAGTTTTGTTATAAAGCATCTCAACCATTCACATGGATTCTACACGCCATCTGATTGTCAATTTACAATCACGAATTATAGGAAATACTAGGGAGCAATAAGAAACCAGGAATAGTGGACGTTGCGTGACACATAACCTCGATTCAACCAAGGTGCTTCTAAGCTGTACAAGCAATGGCACCGTTGAGAGGGAGAGATGAGATGAGAGTAACGAGTATTTGCGATTAGATTACTCTGAGGAAATGACTTTTACTTTTATTTTTACTTTTACCTTTATGGTTTGTCAAAGTTTTGCATGAGAAATTTCATGGTGTATACGAGTATAGTAATATGGCATAGCTGTCTACCTAATTATATAAAATCAAAGATGTTGGTAGTATAGCGAAGCGAGCTCTTTATTTGAGTTGTTATTAGAACTAACAAAGCAAACTGCAGTATTAATGCACTAAATCAAAGCTAGTGCTCCAGGGACCAGGATGAACTTTTGAGCTACATTTTAGTTTACTCAAGTAGTATTGGAATGAAAACTGAGGGTGATTATCAACGGGACATACATCTTTTGTAACAATATCTGTTTGTGCTTATGTATGAGTATTGATGGGAAAACTGGTAGCAGATCTCTAGTGCCAATCACTAGATTATTATCTCATACCAGATATAACTTCAATTAGATTTGGGTTTGTAAGTCAAGAACAACAATCTTCCTCGCCCTCGCCCTCTCCCTCGCCCTCTCCCTCTCCATCTCCATCTCCATCTCTCTCTTCCAAGACTCAGTACTTCATAATCTACTCGTATAAGGACTAGCATCCAATCACTTGTATAGACTCGATAGACTGAATTTCTCGCTTGGGAAGTTTTGTTGCATGTCTGAACCCAACTACCTCGTCTTCTTACCCAATCAATCAGTCAGTCAGTGTCTCTACTGTTTATCAGTAATTTGGTAAACCCTTTGTGATAAATATTCCCTCAAATATTATCCAAATAAGATATACAATAGTCAGCTCTCCCTGGATCGGCTATCTAATTACCAGTCAAGGAGAGCCATTGTCCTTCTTTGATCTTATAATATTAAGTTATATATAAAGAGTGAGTCTAAAGCTATTTCTTATAATCATTTAATTGATAAAACATATCAAAAATTTCTCAATATTCTTCAAAAAAAAGTAATATAGTTCATATTTTTTGAAAGGGACAATCACTTGCAAAAAAATAATCACTTTCCCCCTTTTTAGGAATCAGGAAGCTGATACATAGAGAGCCGACTTTTACTGAAACTCTTCTGCCACTTTCCTCTAACTCTGTCAATTTGATAAACTCCTATAACCAAACTGAGCTGTAAAGACTGAAATTCGTAACGGAGAAGTCTTATTAAAGCATATCTGAAATCCTGGAGGTATCCCTTGATCGGTTGATCCGTCCGTACCTTGAGTCGCGGATGGATATATTACACTGATCACTAGGTATAGCTATCGATACTATATGAATACTTTGATCCCTCATGAATATCGATGATTATATATATGCTTTGTCTTCAAGTAGATATTGATTATACGATTATAAACTGCCAATAAAGATTAGATAGATGGGTAAGCTCAAACAATACTTAGTAACACTTGACCACACTTCTTAATCCACCCCGAGCAAATTTCATAAGGCCTACCTAACTATCTTAATCACAATAAAAGACATGTTTGTGTTATACTCAAGTATACTTGGAACACAAGTATCTGTTCATGGATTTACTCATCGTGGGAACTTTGGGACGTTTTCAAGTTGTTGCATATCTGGATTTTAAAACAATATATTCATGTAATCAGTGGCTCAATGCTTTAACTTCAAAGGCCCTTGATTATATTCATATCATATTAATGTAATGATCTGAGCACAGTATAAGCATATCTCAAATTTGAATGTTTTAGAGACCATTTTATATTTTTTAAATAATCTTGATATTTTGAAATGTGACAGAACAGACGGCTCTCTTCCGTCACTAGCTCATACTCTGTATATAGTATAATAAGATGGTTCTCTTAGACCTTTCTTTCACAACTTAGAGTTCTAGTTCTATAGCTTTAGACTTAAATATCATATAATACTTATCTCTAGTTCTCCTTTCACTTTTTGGGCCTAGTTATTAGGGCTTCCCAAACCTGTATATATAGTCCTCCTTTTAGCATCCTATATAGCT